GAAGCACCCAGACCTGCAGGGGGCGCTGAATCCTCATATTACAGGAAGACATGCACACTATGAGTCCTTTCATTAACACACTTATGAGAATCCAACCAAAAAATGCAATATTTGGTCAATTTGACCTGGAACATTCTTTATATAAACTACTTACACCAGAGGGTGTTTGCCTCCGCCGTAGCCGTTATGAAGAGAAACACTCGTAATGTGCTCTTTCTGTGCAGTATGTATCTCGTTTTCCCACTGGCATTTAATCATGGGTACTACAATTTCACGCGAACTGAGAGTAACCTCACTGCCACTGGTGTGAGGGATAAGTGTGCCCTTCAGGGATCTCCAGTTAACAGATGTTTACCCAGAGCCGGAATGAGAGCAGAGAATGTGAAGTATGCTGAGAATCTGTGCAAAAGATGCCTGAGGTGTCCGGATATCTATCGAATCCACACATATTTGCTCTCAATATACTTATACTTAGTATAGGTATATGAAGAAACTTCAGGCAGGAATGGTATGTTGAAATGTGTGGTTTGGGGGGGCAGGGAGGTAACTAGCATTACATATTCTTCTTATAATCTTCTTATTCTTCATATTCTGCAAACGTTCCTTTTTATTTACAACGCCGGCTCTTCTGTTTGTCAATACGCACGATCACTTGGGTCACCTCAACCTTAGGGTTGAGAGGGTCGAGCATTGTCATCCAGGAGAGACAGACGCCAGCACGCTGTGTGGGAGACAGCTTGAAAGAGTGCCAGCGTAAACACTACCGGACCACATGTTCTCCAAGGGCAGAGGGACCGGCCTCTTTCCAGGCACATCTGCACACAATCTCCCAGATTGAGCAAGCCCGCCAACGAGACGGAGGGAGACAAAGGAGGGAGAGACGAGGGTTTCCGAGATAGGGAGAACTTGCCTCCTCTTTTGCAGTGGTGTCAATGACAAAAAGTAAATGACATCAGGGTGAAACAATAAAAAAAAAGAGTAGCATGCAGAGGGAGGATCTTTGCAGAATTTCTGTGCTGGGGCTGAGCACCATTTTTGGAACTAAACGTCTATATCACACTACTGGACTCACGTGCCAAGGTCTGAGAGAAGATGTGTTGCTACATAAATCAAGCTTGTGATTCACTCACATCCTGGCTCTGCATCTGCGCTGCATGCATGAAACACAGCAAGCCTGTGATTGTTCAACAGATTTTAATCTCTTGCAAGCTTGTTCCCTTAAAAAAACAATCTTTCTAGCTCATCTTATGCATAAATTTGAATGTAAATGTATTCTCCCATCTGTCTGTAACAGGTCTCTAACAGCTCCTCCTGGTTGCTGCCTTTCCATTTGGTAGTAAAGTGAGCTTTTGTGCGTGTTTTCACAGAGAGGTAATTACTGAGCAAGCTATGCTGACAACACCTGAGGAATGTTGAGCATGCACCAGCAGCCTGTGTTCTCCTGCCCCCCCCTCATCATTCGCCCCAACTTACTTCTTCCCCCATCTGTGGCCATCCCCCACACATCTTACTAACCAGAGCCCAACACAAAGTTCAGCTTGAATAATTTGGTTGTTCGGCCAGAAAGCATACGTCAAACTGCTTGATCAACAACATTTTATTTTTTAGTGTCGAGTGGCAATCTCATCAGATATTCATATTTCTACCTGTCAGGGGAGAAAACCCTGTCTAATAACCCCACAGCTCCAAACGGGCCTCCTCAGTGTTGGTGACTGGTGAATTCACAGCGTGTGTTGGCTGAGTCACTCCCCAAACTGTCCTTGAGCTCTGAGGAACTCACTGCCCATCTGCCCTATTCATTGCACAAATAGACCAAGATGTTGCATGGATTGAAACAGGGGAGTGTAGAACTCTGAGTGACCTAACTCTGAACTGAAAACGGACCTCTAAAAAAGAACGTCAATACCCAGGCGTAGAGAATGATGGCCATGCAAAATAATTGTTGAGCTTATGCAAATGGTTCCAATGCATCGAGTTTGGACATTTGGAGTGTGAACGTGTGCTTGTGCATGACGGAGAGGTGGAGGGAGAGACGAACAGAGGTTCAGAATTCAGCTGAACCTCTCCAGTCTGTCCGAAGAGGCCGTCCTGATCAAATCAGGACCAAGTCCCATGTGCATTCGGTAGAACACAAGTGCAGCGGTTAGAGACGTGTCCTCTGTCTGTCATTGCTGCTGCATCGTGCAGTTGTATGTTTAATAAAGCTAATTCTGATTATGCAAATGCCACGGCTAGAAAAAACACACACACATTCTTTCTGGATGAACAATTGCATATGTTTTCTACACACTTGGGGTTAATCAGTCAAGGCGCCCGAGACGAGACAAAGGGGTCAGGGGATTTAGTTGCCACGCAGCTTCCTGTTGGTAATAACACCCTTTCCATTTGTATGACTCGTCAACATCTGATTGACGTCAACTGATGAAAAGCAAAGGGACGCAAGATCCCCTCTGATTTTGGACGTGCAGTACTCCGAGGTTCTGGTTTCGGTTCTGTTTGTTTGTCTGTTTGTCAGCGTGGCTTACGGGAAAAACAGAAGACACAATTTTCACTAAGCTTTGTGGATGGAAGATGCATCGGCCACGGAGGATGCCCATAACATTTCTGAGTCTGAATCACAGTGCAGAAATGCATTTCCCTTTTGTTAACATGGCAGATGGGTCATTTGGCCTTGCCGCAGGTCTGCGCTCCCTGAATGTCCTCTTGGTTTGCATCAGGAGCTCATTGTAAATCTGTGTCGGATCCAGGAACAATATAAAACAAGGCAGTTAGCAGCTTGGAATGGAATATAAGTTTAAGTGAGCATGTTTTCATAAGAATTGTCTTTTTGTTACTTAAGAATGATCCTTGTATATCTACACACGACATATACAGTCCTGTTCACTTAGCCTGCCACCACTTTTCTATAGAAGCCCGGAATGGACAAACCAAACACCGGCTCGACATTTCAGCTGTGGCCAATGTGCCCTGCAGGGGCACACAAGGGAAGTTTGAGTTGTTTGCAATCTGCAACCTCATTACCAGATGCCAACGATTCCTAGACGGCACCCTTGTTTATTTAAAGGGTCCCACAAATAAGCTGAAACTGGAAGGGTTTTAAGCCTGGCTCCATGAATGGACACTGGTCCTCGGAGCAACATGCAACTCTGACAGCAACCTGAGGCGTGTGGTTTAAGCTCGATCTCATGGAAATGCACAAAATATGTATTCCTTAACATCGATCCAGATATTTTGTCTGTTCAACGATGAACTTAACTTCTTTAGCCAATTCCTGTTCACTTCTGTTGCTCCTGACCTCGAGCTCACTGGACTAAAACTAACTGCATGAACCCATAGGGGCAACAAGTCTCCAAATCACAACTCCCATGCCTGACTTGGGAACTAACATCTGCTTTTCTGTATTTCTCCACCCCCCCACCCCCTAAAAAAACCAACAACCACACGGTTACCCGAGCAAGGGATTGTATATACCAACAAGTCTCTTAACCATGCTCACATGCAGGCAGAGGGGTGCTTATTGACAATCGCAGCACGGAGTTAATTGAGTTTTCACACTTTGCGCGTGCGGCCGGGCGCAGGGGAGTGGAGCCCATCACAGCGCCGGGGAGGACCGACTCCCCCCCCGCCCCCGGCTGACGTCAGCTGACTCGCCTCGGCTCTCCCCGCTCCTCCGGATACAGCGCCGCGTAAAAAAAAAAAAAAAGGAAAAAATGCTGCTCTCCGCGCCGCCAAGGACAGGATTCAGCCCGTACAACGGCTACACCGGCAAAAACACCAAGAAGGTAAAAGAAAAAAAAGGAAGCCCTCATCCCGCTTCTGGCCTCCTTTAATTCCCGTTACAGTCAGCGTGTTTTTCTCGGTGCCGGTAAAAAAAAAAAAAAGAAAAAGGGGAAAGAAGCCGCTCGGCTGCTTTAAGCTGCAGTGTCCTTGGAAGTGGTTCACAGGCGACGCTTCAACTCTCCTACTTGGTATCGCAACCTTTCTGACTGCTGTGTTGTTACAAACTAACATCGGGGGGTCCGTTACATTGTTGCCTGTAGATTACTACAACAGTTTGCTTTGTTTGTGTGTGTGTTTTTTTTTACCCGACACGGTTGCTCTTCCCCTCCGATACCGAGTCTGCACGTATGAGGAACAGTTCATGAATGCGCGGCGGATAATACAGATAATAAAGGCTCCTTTTATTCGACCTCCCTGTATATTCGGCTGGAGATCGAATCCACTGCGTGATGTGTTTTCGGTGCTGTTTTCCTTTAATCAAGCATCAAGTTATCAAAGTTTTCCCCGTCTTTTACGCGAACAAATATGCCCCACCCCTTCAGTACTATAATGATGACTGAGAGGGGGTTTTGCATTGCTGGAACAATTTATAAGATATAATATTGACTAGATTGTCTTTTCGTATGAATGATTCATGGGATGACTTTGTTCAACCGCTTCTCTCCAGGCTTTATAGATTTTTCTTCTTAATTCTGGGACATATGGAAATGACAGGATTACACAGGGGTGTTTAAAGTAGTTGGTCAGATCTCGGGTGTGATGCATTTTAAGTACTGATTTCGACTTTTGAAACTATAAGGATTTCTGATCGAAATCTGATACCTGACTGGGCATTTTTCTTGAATAACGTTTGAAAAAAGCTGAAATACAACACCAGCCTCCTTCCGGGAGTTTTATCCTTCCTACCATTCAGATTGCTGATTTGAATGACCTGGGACTCCTGGATTCAAATAAAGTGCTCAATTGGGGGAGGGGGGGGGGCTTTGCAAACTCAAACATTTTCCTCTGACGATGATATGCACACACTCATACTTCATAGTGTCCACATCACGTGGATGGAAGGCGTGTAAACCGTGACCCCTGGTCAATGTCTGTTACAACGGGGAAAAAGGACGGAGAAAAAAAGACACCCCCCCCTTCCTTTCCTCTGCTTTCGATTTACTCCCTCTGGATTTTTCTTCTTCTTCCACCCCTGTGTGCTTCACATACCTTGATTTCTTGTCTGTCAGAGGTTCAGTTCGCATGGAGCCGGAACATTCCTCCTAATTGATGAACCCTTTGTCCTTTCCTTCTGCTCTCTTCACGGTACACGATACCTGTTGAAAACAGATTATTTGAACCATCTGTTTACTTTTTCTGGTGTTTTATAACGCAACTGGACTAAGGAGAAGGGGAGCGAGGATAAGTCTCAGCTCTAAGCTCTCAAGACGACAAGGATTTCCATCGCTTCTCGTATTTGGTTCTTCCACCTCGCAGATTTTCTTGCTGCTGCAAAAAGCTACTATGTAGAGATTTGTTCTGCTACACTATGATCTTACCCGCCATGCCTTTTAAAGTTTCTTTTGCCAATCAGGTAGGACTCCACACTTCAGATATTCATCTTTGATTCATGATTTGTAAATTGTTGCATAATGAAGATGATATTACTTTGACAGTTTACTTGTGCATAATTGAAATGCTACTTTACCACGGCGCAAAGTACCATTATGTTTATAATGATCAGCATAATGCATTTTATTTTGGAACCTGTTCAAAAAATGAAAAATGCCTGACTCTCTTTATTATTTATTTGATTATGTTTTGAGAGCTTTTTAGGCAACTAAATGCTTCCTTTGGGATGCCGATAAATTAAATAACCGCACGATTGAGATTTATTCAATTTTCCAACATACTCATTATCTGTTTCACAAAAGGTTTATGTTGCTGCAATGATGTCGCATCTAAGCCTCAAACAATCAGACACTCAGCCGGCACTCACTGCGAAATGTCCTTGAGTCACCTGGACTCCCTTTGGGCATCACCTCTGCCCCCTCCAACTGTAATCATCTCATCCATACCTGGAGCACGCCGCCTTCCTCTGCATAACACTGTTATGCTTCTTGCACAACTATAATAAAAGCCATTCAGGCGATTTACCTTCCTGTAACTTACTGTGTGAGAGCAAGTGTGGCGTGATGACAGTATTCATCTACAGCTTTACTGTACATAAAGTACCAATAGTTTGAGTGTCCGAAAGCAACGGAGCATAAATGTCTTTCATTGGCACGCTACGATGAAATCGTTATTTTACATTGTAAAAGCAAATGCCTTCTGTTTTTATGACCCATTTATCATGTCACTTGCAGATGTGCATATCTTGCATGTACACCAGAGGATTTACTTTATTTATCAGTTCTCACACAGCTGTGATGTCCCAGGAATGCAGTTGAGCAGCCTTGAACCCTTGTCCAAGGGGAGGGACAAAAATATGTGTGTATTTCAATGTGAAGAATGCTGAAAATGACACTAATGCAAGTAGGTTAGAGTGTCACAAGGTGACATGCGTGGTTGTGGACTGAAGAGTAACAAATAGGAGAGAAATCTGCAGCATGTCATATGATTAACCGAGCACACATATGCAACCTCACAAACTAGAAAAACATTGAATTCCCACATCGTGTCCATTTAAAGCGTGTGTCATACTTTCCAAGCTTCCCGTTCTTGCTGCATTTGTGCGGTTCTGAATGTGTTTGGTATTACCTTTTTATTGGTTTCAAAACACATGGAGCCGGTGCCGGAGCAGATGGGGTGAGGGTGTGGATCTGACTCACTGCCATCTTTTTTCTCACAAGGAGCCCGGTAGAGCAGTCCTAATGAGACTCTACCTTCTGACTTGAGAGCACATGAGAGGGATTAGTGTTTTTCGGTTAACAAGCTCAGATCCTAATTAGACAGGCCTCAGTAGTCGGGCTCGGGCCGGGACTCAGTCTCCTGTCAGATCCTATCTCCCCTGGCCTCAGCAGGTGCATCCCTCCCGACAGCAAAAAGCAAAGCAAAGCAACGGACGTGACTGGGATTTTGGAAAAACAAACAGTGTACTATTGATGAGAGGGAGGTTATGGTGGGCAGACTGAGGTGAATGAGCCCTGTGAGTCACTGTGACTTTCCTAGCTTGACTGAAAAGACGGAGTAAGTTCCAAGGACTTATCCCTAGAAAGTTTGGAAAACCTAAAGCAACTCAGTTGCGTTCCTACAATAAATCTTACAAAAGCATCACTGGTGTTGCTATTCAGTAGTATATGTGACTGTGTTGATATAATACGCAAGTGCTATTAGAGTATACATTTCTCATGTATTGAGGCTTTGGCTGACAGGTAAAAATGGCATGGTAATATACTTTATGTTCCATGCATACATCCTCAATACGTAGCTTTAATAATGCATCCAATATGTTTCACAAACCAAAGAAATAACTGTCTGCCCTCGAGAATGGATTCATTCACTATAATGTGAAGTCAAATTTAAGTAATGGACTCCATGTCTGAAAAGGGCTTAAAGTACTGCTTTATGCTCAATGAAGTTTGGAATATTGTCAGCTAACATTAGCTACCTTTTCACCATTGCAAGAGGGCCTCTAGCTAGCTAGCTCGCCCGCTACATGTTAGCTATGTTGTTTCTTCCACAGCTCCATTTCTGAATATATATTATATCACGCATAGAAAGAAATTAGTAACTAACGCGCGTTAGTTAACATTCAACTTATTGCGGCTTCATCCCTTTTTTCTCGTGACGGCGTCACTTCAAGCTGTTGTTGATCTTGATCTGTCGAATTGATTAATTGGGGCTTGTTGGTCTGAAAGTAATACTTGTACAGTTTTCTGCTTTTTAAACCACAAGAAAAAAAATCCTATATTTCTTTTACAGACAAATAGAAATCATAATTGGCTTGATTGTAGGCGGATTCTGACAACTCCCCCTCTGATAATAAGCTGGGGGTCCACAGCTGACCTTGTGGTGTCCAACAAGCCGTCCCATTGTTCCCTGGGGCCGAGCCTGCTGACCCTAACTAATCAAACAGTTCCTCCCCTGCCGGCAGGGGTAGGACTGCCAAAAGCAAAACCAAGCCGACATTATACTTCCATACCAATTTCATTTATTGCATGGTGCATTTATTCTGATGAACATATTGTGCCAAATAAGAAGCTGATTGCAGGCATGCATTGACGCGAGCAGAGTCTCTGCATACGGTTCCTTTAATGCTCACAAATCCTTCCAGCTCATGAAATAGCAGATATGACATTTAGGTCCAAGTGCATAAATCAGGGCACATTCACTTACAGTGTAGATATATGCAGTCATCTGAGAAATTGTGTGCAAATATATAAAACGGTAAAAGCATCTTTCCTTAATAAGTCAGTTCATCCAAATAAAAAAACATTTACTGGTATCAAGCCATTCAGTTCAGTTCTCTCCACCCAAGACGATACTGGTGGTTGACATCTCTTTTTGGCTGCTCAATGTATTGCCAATATGAAATGTTCTGTCCCAAACACTTCTGTGGTAACCATTGATAATCCACAGATGTCCCTGCGAACGGCTTTGATTACAACTGTTTCAAATACTCAAATGAATAACGTTCACCCGCAACATAAACCACAGAAGCCCGTCTGTCAGCAATGTGGAGCTCACCACTTATATCCAACCAGATTTAATGTTATACGCTGTGGTTTTACACTTAAACGGGCTCACTTGGCATCACGAGATAGGGAGTATTTTCCATGTACGCTGTACTTTTTGCTAGTTAACATTTCTTCCAAAAGCACTGTTTCTCTAAAAGTCTATATACTATAAGTAGGTTAGTTTGAATAGCACACTTAAATATGTAATATTGAAGGTCCGGTCTCAACATTTACAGTTAGGTCAACTTGCTGTGTTGCGTAAACCAATGAGTAATTGTGCTATATGATAACCAGCAAACCGTCAGCCTGTTCTTGCGATCCACAATGTCTGAAATATCTGAATTAAAATTAAACATTAGAAAATGGTGTAAAATTGTCTTAACAATTCATTCATAACTAGTCATACCGTAATAAGCCTTAGAATATTGACTCGTAGGTCCGCCCTTAATGTCCTGTCACAGAGTCGGGACTAAATTGTTACCGGCTGCTTATAGTGGAGTTTTTTTACGACCATAGTTGGTGGTTTCTCATGATTCCAATTTCAGCTAAATGGGTGCACATTGTCTACATTGGCTAATTGTGTCGTTTAATCAACTCGGCATGCCTTGCTGCCCACAGTTTGAGCGAGTTCGTTGCTCGCCGATTAACAGAGTTGTTGTTATCCAGTTAGCTGATGCGTCAGTGTATACATTTGATTTTATGCATCTAAAGGAGTATTTCTCCCCTGTACAATCCCAAAGTACAATAATTAATCTAACCATTCTCTTTTTTGTCAAGCAGACGTATGTGTCCCCCTCCAACCATCAGATGGCTCCTCCAAGCCCCAACAACAACAACAGCAGCATCACCACCACCTCCTCCATCAGCAATGGCAGCAGCAGCTGTGGAGGAGAGCTGCTGAGCAAAACCAACCTGTACATCCGTGGCCTCCACCCAGGAACCACAGACCAGGATCTGGTCAAACTCTGTCAGCCGTAAGTTACCCAGAAACCAATTGCTCCTAACTTCTATGTCCACACTCAATAAATCTGGATCTGGCTTCCCGCCCTGCAAATGAACCAGGTTTGGGTAGAACGGAGTGATGGGTTCATTGGCAGGCGAAGGCTGTCTGTCTGAATGCATCAAGGATTGCATCACAGGACGTAAGTCATTCATGAATACCTGAATGACCTCCTTGAACTTGAAATGCACATTAATGCTAAAGCACACCCAAGCAGGCACTTCTTGAGCAAAGAAGAGGGCAGTATTTTCATCCGTCGTTTTTTTAGGCCCTTCATTTAGTGGCCATGTGGAAAAACCAACAATCGTTTTGGCAGCAAAGTGAGACTTTTGCTCTGGCACAGCTAAGCAGAGGCGTTCCAACTACTAGGTACAGAATGTTTAGTCTCCTTCTCCCAAGCTAATTATTTCTGTATGTCTCCTCAGACCTTTGACGTACATGAGTTCTTTTTCCTCTGTTCTTTTCTCCTGCAGATTATCATCAAACATGTGATGGCAATCAGACTATGCAATCTTTAGTCAAAGTCGTATTCTGCACTATAAATGATACACTATGTAGCTCATCAGAGTGAGTGTGAGTCTTTGAAAACTGTTGCGGGCAGCCTGTAGTCAGACATCAAACAACAGCCTCATCTAATCCGTCCGATGTGTTTGTTGGGCCTTTAGCAGAAGACATCAAAACAAGTCGGGCTGAGATGAATGGTCTGGGTTCACCTAATTGAATTCTGGGGCCTGGTGATGAGGACCAGAAGAGTGGAGAGAGAAAAGGAGGGAAAACAAGAGCGATTGAATAAGGGAGGGAGGGAGGGAGAGGCCTGCTACTTTACAGCTGTCTGGAAGATATGGCTCACACGAGGCTGCCCGACCCTACAGGAAACGGCGAGCCCAGGGGAAAGGGGAAAGACAAACAAGGGCAAAGGCATGAAGGGGGTGGTGGATGGAGAGTGGTGTGGGGGGTTCTGTAGGGGTAGTTCTCATATTTCTGCTTTTACTGAGCGGATAATATCGCTGCATGAAATCTGCCTTTTAGCGGAACACATTAAGACCAATGCAATGCTTAGATAAACTGGACTGGGGAGATCAGATGATAGTTAATCTGGGACATGGTTGTAGAGGACCGTGTCAAACAGTAGGAGGACAAGTCGTGTGGGGAATTTAACTCAGTCGACTCAAGTTTTGAACCGCTAATGCGTGCGTAGTATCCGGACACCACACTCATAAAGCTCCCCTCCCCCACAGTTGTTGTACGCACACTGTGTGGGGAGCGAGTGATGAGAGGACGGGATGGGGGTTGGATCTACGGCCCCTGCAGTCGTCTCTCTGGGTGCTTCGCTGCCGCTCTGGTTCCCGCCCTGGTCCGTTTCTGGTGGTTGACCACGGAGGGGCATCGGGCTGGACCACGCTGGGGTCTTTCACACACGGCTGGGTCTCCATCCCCGCTTTTCACTTTGCATCATGTAGTGCAGGAGCTCTAAAGGCAGTTCAGTACACTGTTATCTCCGAGTGTTTAAGCAGGGTAGTACAGCAAGTAGAACTCAGCAGCTACAAATGTTCGTCAATGTTTGTCATGGACCGGTGGCATTGCCTTGTGCCCACCGTCATCATGCATATGGAAATGTAGGAAGAAGGGGTTTTATCTGGTGGCGTACAGGTGCATTTTATGGCTTAGAATCAGAAACACGCCATGAAATGATAGTGATAATGTAAACTGGGCAAATTGAGTTTGCAGACAATGTGTACAGAATAAATTCCCTTAGAATTGTTGTAAATTCTATAAAATAAGTTTTACAGGTGGTCACATTGGTAGATTTTCTTTCTAAAGTCTAAAAATGTATTTCCAATTTGGATTCAGATTAAAACGTAAGTCCTCACATAATCCTAACTAATGAATAAATATTTTTTCAGTGAGTCTACCAGCCTGGGTGCATTGTGGCAGTGGTGCAGTGTAACGCTGCAAAGAGAAAAGCTGCTTAGTAGAACGAGAGTATGGCTCGGAGCCAGCAATGAACAGGACAGCCAAGGAGACGCATATCAGATTACACTGCATGCACATGCCTGGGGAGAAGAGAGCCGATTGACACTCTGCCGCACACAAGCCTTCGCCTGAGCCACAAATCCATGCATACGCATTGTCCACAGCTGGCCCGCTGGATATGTGTTGTATTCATTGTGAATTTGTCTAAAAATGCAGCAGAATCATTTATTTTGACCAAATCGTCACTTAATATTGAGTTATGATCCTTATTGACATCTATGTAAAAGCAGGGATTTAATAAGATATGGGGAATCTTTAGTCTTTCCACTATGCACAAACCTGTGCTTATTATTGTTATTATTTCTTGGAAATCTGTCTTTGTGCATGAAAATGAACAAAACCTTGCACGTAAGTAACGTCCTTAAGTGGGATTTATAGCTGAAGTAAAAACTCGTCATCAACATTTGAACGTCACGGCACAGTTTCATCTCAAAAACTGCTACATTTTACAGTAGTTTGAATTTCATCCTGGAGTTAACCATCTCAGTTTATAGAATCGGAGAATCTTTCATCATCAGTTGACAGGCAATAAATATTTGTCAAAACGGAGCTGTCATGCAAATTCTCAGATTTCTTTTGACCATATTTTGAAAACAAGCCACCTTTGGCGTCATAGTGTGCAGTAGAAATTTGAGACCCGATAAGGCAAAATGAATATACTGACGTCAACTCAAGTATTATGACTTAGGAACACACAACTTGAGGGCCATGTCATGTATTTCACCTTTATTTGTGTTCTGCAGCAGCTCTAATTTAATTCATGCCCCAGCCCCTCTCTAGAGATTTCCCCATACATAATTTATTATTAAATAGTGTAATTGATGATTGAGCACCAGGGTATGTTAAGCTCAGAGAGAAACCACATTGCCTCAGCAATGTCCCAATGCTAATATTGAACCTATATATGTCAGATTTCCAGTGTAGGACCGAATGACTATAAAAGTCACTGTTTTTCAGGTACGGGAAAATTGTATCCACCAAAGCCATCCTGGACAAGACCACCAACAAGTGCAAAGGTAAGGCGTCAGAGTGAAAGTAGCTGTAACCTCAAAAGTGTAAAAAAGTAAAAATCATTTACTAAAATATGTAATTAAAATCAATCATTCAGTAACTTTAGTCAATTTAGTCACATCCGAATTCCAAAGGTCGTTGGAAAATCCATAGAGAGGAAATAGAGATTCTGTAACTTAATTTAATTAATTTCTGTTGAATTAGCCGAATGCGTAATGTTCTATTATGAATTGTTTTCAGTTAAAAGTCCACAAATTGTGAACATTTTCTCTACTGAAGTTCTAACCAACCGTGCAAAAACATTCAATTCAAGAATTCTTTCTAATTTTTTGATTGAAAAATGTAATCCGCTACTAAAACGTTGATTGAATTTATGTGACGGTCGCATTAATTGAGCGAATATTGCAGCTATATGACAATTACATGTCATTTTTTTTTTGATATGATATGTTTTGAGGAAAGATGTGAATCTGAAATATAAAATGTGAGCTCCATAATATTACTGTATTTTATCAACTGCATGGCAGGTGGTAAAAAAGGACACACTCCTTTATTTAGAATAGACAGTCGAGGGGCGTTGAACTTTACTCACTCAACAGTCCGCTATTGTGTGATATTATATATGGGAGGTGTAACTATGTGCGTCCTTCGGTCCAAACCCAGCTGGCTGTGTCTTCAGATTCAAACACCACTAAACCAGCTTCTTGAGATCCATATGTCATTGTCACGTCACGCTGTGTTGTCTCCGTGCCTGCAGGCTACGGCTTTGTTGACTTTGACAGTCCGTCCGCAGCTCAGAAAGCAGTGACAGCGCTGAAGGCGGGTGGAGTGCAGGCTCAGATGGCCAAGGTAAGGACCTCGCTTCAGATGTCACTATTCCCTGGTTGTATTTCTTGTGACTTGGTGTCAAATTTAGTCAAATAGTCAAGAGTTAAATTCTCAGCGGAAGGGAGAAAAAAAACAACTTTACGGCATTTTAACAGTGACTCAGCACAAAGCTGAATGTTGAATTATTAATTAGGAATTAAATGTTGAATTATTAACATTGCAGCAGAAAAGTTGTTCCTATGCCTTGTCTGCTTCTTGTAAATTCCTTTTTTTAAAGCCGTGGCAAGCTCTTTCTCTATGTTTTTCTCTCCCCGTGTGTTGTTGTTGTCCCCGTGTTTTCATGTTGTTATATGAGCCGAGCTTCAGGAATATAAGCCAATTAAGCCTCCGCTTGTGTGTGCGTGCGTCAGCTGGGCGGCGCTCCGGGTGTATCCTTAGATTAGTGTATTTATGGGGATTAATGTGCTGTAGAATATGTGTGCGCACTAACAAGAGTGCATAGAAGCCTGCGGGCGTATGTGTGTGTACATGTGTGTGTGTGTGTGTGTGTGTGTGTGTGTGTGTGTGTGTGTGTGGTGGCGGTGTAGAGGGAGTATGTCCCAGGGCCTTCTGCCTGTACAAAGGCACTGTCTGTTCTCCCTGGTGGGCATCTGACTCAGTGTCTGAGCAGCTCCCCAGTCAGCGAGGGCCCTGTGCCCAGCCACCCGCCCCTGTCAACACACACACACACACACACACACACACACACACACTGTGACACATGCACTTCACCAGCATTGCCCCGACCGGATTACGACACAAACTCACAAGTCACGCACACCACCGACCCCGCTGGGAGAAGCTGATCTCTGGTTAATCTGGATCACTGACACTCAGCTCCTCGCTCACAGAATAACTTGGTTTCACTCTGGATTTACTCTGTGCTCTGGAGGAATAGGAGAAGGGTGGTGAAGGAGAAATCACCTTCAGCACGGGTCATAGCGATTACACGTGTATTATTCATGATATGGAAATGAATTCACAGCGCATTTACGGGTTGTTAATCACACCTACACTCTTGAGATAATGAATATGCAAGATGGTTAGAGGGTGATACAGATTGGTTATCTTACAAGATGCTAACTTAAATTAGTTTCGCAGAAGGCTGAGAAAAGGAAACAAGGCGCCTACAAAATAGTTGAAAAGCATAAAAATGAAACTGCGGCACTTTATCAGATGATTATAGGTTGGGTACTAATAATTTCATGTTCACTTTTGGGGAAAGCTGCATAATTTGTCGAATTTATGCGAGGCAGCAGAGCCGGCCTCCGTACATGTATTCAAGGTCGGGAAGACCACATGAATATTACTGCTCGAATGCAAGCGACGTATTATTACAATGAAAGGACGGTGAAACGCTTTAGATATTATTCTGATCAATGCCGAGTATCTTTGTCCAAACTGTTTCTCCCGTGATTCTGCACAGAACAAGAGCACATAATCATCTCATCTGAGATCATCCATGAATGGAGGGACTTTTAAAAATGTTATTAGGCTTTGAGATCCCCTTGCCTGGATCCGTCACTTTCATCCTCCTAAGAGGCTGGTCCCACACAATGGGCCTGTCTTCTATGCCTTCGGTAATAACGCTTGGGTAATGGGGTATGAGAGCGGGGATCAACTTGGATGAATAAAAGTGGAAGGGACAGAAACAGAGTCGGAATGAGAGAGAAATTCAGTTGAAGTCCAGCCAGAATATCTCAACATCTGAATATCCCTTTCCTCCTCCTCCGACCTCATCCATGCAGCTCACGCCAAAATGAAATCCACCCTTCACTTCAAACCCGATTCCCTCTCCATCACACTGCTTTTAAACTGTCTAGATTGCATGATCCTCTCCTACTTTTGCTTCCCGCTCCACAAGGAGCTGCGTCTGCTTCCACACCCTTGTTCATGAATCCTCTGCTGGGCTCTCACCTCTCAGCAACAGGAGCAGGACCCCACCAACTTATACATCTCCAACTTGCCAATGTCCATGGATGAGCAGGAGCTGGAGAACATGCTGAAGTCCTTCAGCCAGGCCATTTCCACTCGCATCCTCCGTGACGCCAACGGAGCCAGCCGAGGCGTGGGCTTCGCCAGGTACGAGCCCTGATTCATTCACTTACTCATACTAAGGCAACCCGTGACAAGCGAATGGCACATTAGGGACGGCCTCCCGTGCTTTAAAGAAGATCTCCAGTTGCGGCAAATGTTCTTCTCCGTCATGGTGAGGCAGCCCTCTGGTGGCCAGCGTAGGTAGAACATCCTCAACCGTGGATACTAACGCACAGCATGACGCCATGTAACCCGCGACAGTGATTGTCCTTAATAAAGATCACACTTTCCTGTAGGATGGAGTCAACCGAGAAATGTGAAGCTATCATCCAACATTTCAATGGGAAATATATCAAGACTCCACCTGGAGTTCCAGGTGATTAAAGAAAATAATTTAAAATTAAAAACATTTATAATACGGACTATACATCTTCATATGAAGTAATACTTTCTTACTGGTGTACTAGTATAATATTTTGTTTCCGCTGCAGTGCCACCAGAGCCCCTCTTGTGTAAATTTGCCGACGGGGGCCAGAAAAAGCGTCAGAGCCAAGGAAAATATCTGCAGAACGGCCGGCCCTGGACGAGAGATGGAGAGAGTGTGGGTTTATTTCCGCGCATTGCACCTTTTTTTTTAAAGGCTTTTCTCAATGCACCAACGCCTCCTCATGACATTGTCCCTTTCTTTCTCTCCAGGGAGGACTGACGCTGACCTACGACCCCACCACGGCTCTGCAGAACGGGTCCGTACTACAACTCTGATGAATCCCTTGTACAGCCAGAGGGCTTGTGGTCTGGTGACTAACAGCTTTTGGCCTCTTTCTGTAGGTTCTACTCTTCTCCCTACGGCATCGGCCCGAACCGGATGATGGGGCCGACCTCCATCTCCCCGTACATGCATTCTCCCATGTCCACCTACCAGGTAGTCCGGGCCCTGAAAAAAGCTTTGGTGTTGGGTAGTTTAGATGCCTACTGTGATCAAATCAAGCTTAATAAAGCCCTCGTGTGTGAAACATTAGTTGTTCCAAATCTAAAAATAAAACAGCTAAATGTTTGGCTAATCGATTCCTGGTGAAATATGTGTGTCTTTCTTGACCATGCAGGTGCACAACCCATCCTGGTTACATCATCAGTCATACATCATGCCGCCCACAGTGAGTCAATTTCAATCTTCCTTCCGGGTTTTTGTTGGATAACTTTCTATTCATATTCAGCTTTCTTCACATTCTGTCCAACCAACAGTCTTTTTTTTTAACGCCCACTGATTTTTAAAGAGGGGTATTTTTCATTGTTTCACAGGGAGCGGTCCTGACGCCGGGAATGGACCACACCATGTCCATCCAGCCAACCTCCATGATGGGACCCCTAACGCAGCAACTCAGCCACCTCTCCATGGGCAGCAGCGGCACAGTCAGTGGAAAGCAGCACATTTCGCATGCAGCTCTGGTTGATGTTTAGCAGCTGAAGGGGTGCAGGCGGCCATTTAAGCAGTTTTATGGAGGGCGCAAACATAGAGAGGCTTTGTTCACTGCTTTTAAGGACATGCCACATCATCATCATGAAAATAACTACACTTTTATTTCGGCTCATTAAAGAAAGAAAGAAACATCAATTTGGATTGTCAGTCGCAGGTCCCCATTTTAATTCAGCCTGATAAGGACCAGTGTCACTTCACACATACATTTTGTCTAGTGTCACTTTCTTTCTCTGTTGTTATTGCTAATGCAGCTGTTCGTGTCTAATGACCTCACCCTATCCACTCTCCTTCAGTACATGCCCTCAAACACGTCTATGCAGGGGACCTACATCCCCCAGTACACCCAAGTGCCTGCCACCAACATCTCAGTCGAGGTAAAGCCCTCTGTTGTCTTTCACCAGTTGAAATGTGACGTGAGGCAAGCACTTCACAGACTCAATCTCTGGTGCCTTCCTTCTCAGGAAAGTGCCGTCCAACCACCCGTTGCCATAGAAACACCCACAGAACACACAGCTTACACCTACCAGCATAACAAGTGAAGAGGTGCGTCGCAGTTGTTTTGTGTCTCTTAACACGTCATCGTGGCCGTCGGAGCAGCGCACTTTTGTAATTGTGCTGGTGTTGTCGCCTTGTGTCAGATCTTCCTGTGGAGCCGGAAGGACCCTTCAAAGTGCTGAAACACGGCACAGCGACTGTGTGCTCGTACGGCACCGGACACTCGGGAGCGACACGGACTGTTACACACAAAGGACAAAAACAACAACAACAACAAAAAAGGAAGAAAACAATATTTTCTACACACTCATATTTTAGAATAAACTGTTTTACTCCAACAACCGGGTCTGGAGGACGGCGGGCAACGAGAAAGGGAGGAAGAGGATCAACAGTCAAGAAAAAATAAGTCACACACATGTTGGATTTTCTTTTCTTTTAAAAAAAAAAGCATTTTCATATTATTTTCTAATAATGTTCTGGGGAGCTGGAGTGAAACCAGGAGAAAATACTTCAACGCCATGTTTTATTTTGAGTCATTTTTTTTCCTTCACTTTTTTGTAAGAGACACTGATTTTGCTTCATCGTTTTGTCTGATACCTTCAGGCTTTCAACATGCCTTTTTGTACATAATTTTTGTTTTGTTTTGTGTTTCTAGCTTCTAGTAAACATTTGAATACGGGACTCAAAAGGCTAAAAGAAGTCCCTCAAAAAGCTGACGATTCGTGTTCCAGATGTTCGCGGTGGCCACTTGGAGTCTAAACTCACGTGTACCAGGTACAAACCTCCCCGGAGCGGCAGCGCTTCTTTTCGGCACTTGACTCTCAGATCATGGATACTGCCGGAAATCTCGACAAAGCTTTGAGACAATCAGAAGATAACAGAGGGGAGAACATTTAGAGATGTTATAAGGAAGACTCGTTAAAAGAGCTAAATAGATATAAAGCATTTTGAGAGATTATTATCGGAAAGTTCTAACTATTTGTTTGCGTTGCGCTGCTACTATTGATGAAATCCAAAGTTGCTTAACTGCAAATCTCAGACAGAGCTGCCTGTAAATAAGAGATTTAAATGTATTTAGGCTTTCTTTTGATTTCCTTTCATCAGTGCAGTAATGCTTCTGTTGTTTGAATAAAAATATTGTACCAAATTATCTGAACAAAGTCTTCTGGCTTTCCCTCATGAACTGCTCATAACAGGAGAATCTGACTCTCCAGAGCAGAGTCAGATGTTAGAGTATAAAGTTCTTATTGCATAAATATAGAGATCCACTGGTAAAGTGTGGCTCCGTCCTGTTAGATCTTCAGAAAAGGTTCATTCTGAATTATTATGGCCAGAACATGCTTTAAAACTGACCTTATTTTTGATCGCATCTACATCTGAATTTTCCGCCCTCATGTTTTGTCTTTACATTTCTTATTTAAAGGTTTTATCAAGTTGTTTTTTATTTCACTTTTTAAGATTGATCCAATTTTTCCAAGATGTTTTGTTTTTATTTTTGATAGTGTGTTGTGCGCCTCAAATAGTGAGAAGTAGATGTTTGCAGCTGTTTTTGAAGTAGTGATTTGTTTGTGCGTTTGCCTAGTTGTGTGGTTTCAGTGTTCAGGTCAAAGAGGCTTCACGGCTTTAGTTTGTTTTATTGGTTGTTGTTTTTTTTTCTCACAGACATTTCAGTTCCGTCCGTATCTCAGATGTTGGCAATTTGCCAACATGACTCCTGATGGTGGTTTAATAATCATGTACGCCAGGTTCAGATGCGTTGTTACAGAGTTACAACATAGAGACAAATGATATGTTCAAACCCTGACTTACCTCATCCTGCCAGAGAGACGAGGTTCACAGGCAGTAAACAACGCTTGAGTTGGCCTCATGGCCGTTCACAGCTGGTTCTGTGTCCACTTCCTTTAACTCGGAAGAACACGCCCAAGGTCTGACGATCTATGCAATTAATTTATTATCCTCACGAATGCAATACTACGGATGTCCGAGCGACGCCTCACATGTCGACAGCGGATCTCCGTTGTGCATACGGACACTTTGTGTTTGTTTTTCTGACTGACACATTTGTCAATGGTTCATTCATCGGTTTGAGAATTTCTGCATTAAAAGGGAACTATGATCACACCAAAATGAAGTTGTTTATGACTATGCTCAATGTGAACGGAGGCTGGTGTGGCCACTCGATTACCGAACGTCTGTGCTACGCCAGCACCATCAGGTTTTTTAGATTCACCATAAGGTCTGTTTGCATGTTTTATTCCGGGGGCCCTGGGGGGTCCCGTTTGTTCACTTGCTTTCTTGCTGAGAAATTCTCACGGTTTTATTTCCAGGACCAAATTAAACTCCACAGAAATGCCTTAGATTTCACTAAGAAGCGCTACTCAGATTTATTTTGTTTTTAGTTGCATGCACTGCTTGTGTTAAAGAATTTCTGTCGGCTCAAACTACTCTGAACATAAATCTATTAAGCAAAGAAATCTTTGTACGACTTTGTGTGTCCATTGTTTTCATCCAAAACATTGAAGAACTTATGGGGGCTTACTGGGTCTAACAAACTATTGCTGCTATTTTGAGTGTTGAATATTTAGAAATCATTTAGCGGAAGGTCGTTGAATATAACGAATCAGATACGAGTTCCTAACTGGTTTTGAGAAATCTGTGCAATACTTTGTTTTCTGCATCGAACCACCTCCTTCAGTAAATGTCGGTCTGTGCCATCATGTAGGTCTTTGTCATCTTCATTGGAAAAAAAAAAAACCTGCAGCAATTAAACTTTCAACTTGGTTTGACTTGGAACTTGTCATTTGTTAAGTCAAATGTATTCGCTCTACTTCCTGCTTTGCATCACAAAAAGGACCAGCAGGTGTAAATCTAGTAAAACACTTAATATGAGCAAATACACATCCAGGTTCTCATGTTTATCAAACTCAATTGATTTGAGGTAATACACAGATAACAGTCACAATACAAGGGAATGTATTTCTAAAACAGACTTCAATTTATATAAAAAAAAACTGGAATTCTATAAAGAAAAAGTATATTACACTATTCAAGAGGCTGTATATGTTTTACTATGTACAAAGTTAAAAATATATTGAATATGCCCAAAAGTTGCTGCAAAACAAAATACTCTGAAATACATAAAATAGACTTAATTTACAATCTTTTATCAAGAGTAACGCATGTTGATTTTTACCCTGCTCGTATGCATGTGGCAACGTAAGACTTTCCATTTCCTTTAGAAAACATATTCTGAGGCAATGCTTGAAGAGGTTTTGGGACTGTTAATCAAATTACAAAAATAGTTGTTTTAGGTGAAATAAAAGGTAAATCAAAACAAATTGTGTCACAAGTACTAAGACACAATTTCTGTGAAAATTTCTATTTTTTAGTCTAGAAGCCATTCATACTTCAGCTTTCACGGAGATGTTTATTTTCCATTGAACGTACCAAGTGTATCAAACATTGACAGCAACACCAAAAAAGTAGAATTACTGTCGTAAAAAATTAAGCAGCGTAATGCGCTCATCTCCCTGCGAGACAAAACCATGTAAACTTGGTACGTCGGCACCAAACATTGCAGCCCAGAGTATGGTTTATAAGTTATAATAACAGTTCTGGCTAGTCAATACAAAACATCCACTGCTGACCGGCATGAAACCCCCAAAAGGGCAGTCGAGGCCCGGGAGGCAGCAACGTCCAGATGCGAGCGGCTGACAGCCTGATTGACGAGGCGGCGCTGGTTCCTGATCCGATGAGCTGGTGTGCAAGTTCTTCCCAGAGCAGGACTGCTGGAAGTGGATGCTGCCGTCGTGTTTAGCCGAGCAGTCGGCGCGACTCCCCCAAAGTTACAACAGCTTATGGTGCAGAATCTCCCAAACCATCCGCCTCCTGAAGTAGGGCATGTGGTTCTGTGAAGTAGAGAGACATCATGCAAGAGACTTATGGGCCACTCCCGTGATGTTTAGCAGATCGATCTGCGCTTGTGATTACCTGTGTGAATGTGATTGGCTTGTCTTTGGTAAAGTAATCGGCATATTTGCATGTGAACATTCCACAGTCGCTACCATTCATTTGCTGTGGGATTTGCTGAAAGCAGAAGGGAAAAAAAAAAGATTATATTGGACATTCCATGATGCAAATACAAAATTATCTTTACAGCTTTGACAGGTTATTGTTATTAATAGATTTAATCTGGTTTGTCTTTATTTTACATTTCAGATGTACTCCTGCTCCAACGCTCCGGCTAAAGTGTTAAAATAATGAAAACAAAATAAAAAATCCCAGTAAGGTAAGGAAACGATGTAAATGGTAAAGCTCTATTAATGAGAAACAAGATAAGCCGTTAGGCTCCTTAAGTGAAACAAGTACAACGGTTTCTACTTGAGCATGGTTTTGAAGTGAGGGAATGCCCTGCTTGCTAAAACTTCTCTCTTGACTGATGTGTCAGCAAAACAGAAGGTTTATGTCACAGATGAATTTGCTGATAATGAAACTCATCCAAAACAAATGAAGTTTGATGACACAACAATGCTTTTCATCCTGGTGGGTTCAGGACCTACATTGCGCTTTTTGCTGTGCAGACTCCAGCCTGTAGTATCCATTACTTTTCCCTTCTTGTCCTTACTTTCCTGTTGCAGGTATTCACTAGGGGAAAAACATAATTCATATTGATACATTGTTTTCATAAAAATAATGAATTACAATTACCGTTGATCACATTCACAAACACATCAGATCGTGAAACTCACAACAATATTCTGCATGCTTCATCATTGTTTCCCCCCAGGGAATCAAAGTAAATCACGGCCTTTTTGCGGAAATCCACCACCTAAGAGACAATAAATACAATTTAAAAAAAATATATATATATAAATTCCAAGATTTTGAATTACTGTTATCAAGACTTACTGAGAGGCACCAGTGCACCCCCAAGTGGACGGGGACCAGCAGGATGTCTTTAGAAAATATGTCCATCTTTTTGGTCCAGCGGCGGACAGCAGAGTAGCCGCTGCTGCGCAGCTTGGGATAGAAAAAAGTGTTGAACGTATTGACTGATGGCAAGCTGGGGTCCTTGCTGCGCTCCACCAGCAGGTTCATATAAAAGTTGATCACCTAAGAGATTAAGGAGAGAGTTTTAATGAACCCAGCAAGCTGTACGACTCTGCTGTATGACAAATATCACGTCTTACAACATGAACGTGTATTCCTCTGAACATTTTGATGTATAAATAATCAAAAACACGGTTGGGTAAAATCTGGTGCACCGTTAGAGAAAATATACACGCACCTCATCATTGAGCCAGTTAAGGTTGCTGAGGGTCTGCAGGTCTTTGCGTGTCAGGCTGAGACCAAAACCTTCACTTAATACTTCATGGTTAGCTCCTCTCAGCACCCTGTTCACCTCAGCCTCCATTTCCTTAGTATGAAGAAACAGCATACATGTGAAAAAGCAGGGCATCTTAACTTTATTATTATTAGATACGAACGCGTCCCACATATCATACGGCCATAAGAAAAATAAAGTTTTATTTCTTAACTAAAGTATGGGAAAAGTTCATAGTTTGAATTGATTATAGTATTTTACATTTCCATTAGTAAATAAAACAGAGCTCAGGTGGATCATTTTCTAGCCAACCTTAACTTTACGCAGCATTGAGCACTCAACATCAGCAGGAAGGGATTTACACAGAAAAAACAAATAAACCATTTAGTCACTTTAACTTCAATATTTTTTTCCTTTTTAAAAAGTAGAAAAACTAAGAATGTCACAAATAGATGGAAAAGCAAGTTTAACATTTTTACACAGTAAACTGCACACTCATTGAAACAATGCCACACCTCTGTGAGTTCGGGGAATTCGGGTTTCTCTTTTAAAGCCTTTTGTTCTTCTATCACAAGAGTCAAAGGAACCTCTTTCTCCAAAGGAACTCGAACATGGACCTCCACATCTGGACTGAGCTGGGACTTCTCAGACAGGCGCTGGGAACCAGCAACAACATGACGCAGATTAGCGGACAGAGAAGAGGTTGAGATGCAACCGATGGGATACAACTGAATCTAAAAGAGAGCGTTAGTGGTCGCACTCACCTGCTGCAGCAGCTGGGAAGCCAAAGCCACCTGCTCGTCAATCTGTCTCCGTCTTTCTCTCGCCCGAGAGTCATACATACTTGTCCTACAGTAACAAGAGGTACACGTTTTTGTCTGTTTGAACATAAATAATGGATCATTTATTGAATGCAATACATTGACATGTGTACTTACAATTCTTTGATCCATAACTCTGCTTGGAAACATGGCACACTGTAAAAACAAACAGGTTAACGCGTATACAAAAAGAAAAGTAATTTTGTTTACTCCACTGATAGTAGAGGTAATGTGGGGTGTCTGGGTTTAGATAAGTTGTATATAAAAATTGTGGAGGAAAGTAACAGCATCCTACATGAAATATTTACAAAGGCACATCTTTGCCATTTATAAAAAGCTTAAACATGTTACACATTGCACATGAACTACAGTTAAATGTATACTAACCTTGAGCGGCCTTCATTTTTTCCCTTTTGCTCACTAATAATAATAACAGAGTCACCATCATGAGCTGCAAGAAAAGATAGGAACATTTAAACCAAAGAACCGGGACAGAACAAAGCAAATACTGAATTCACGATACCTATATTTCCACACACAGGCACAAAATGACCTGATGATTGTGTGTCCTGAGAAGAGTTATCCATAAGAGCTGATGGGGAGGGAGCTGCTGTGAGTGTAGCTGCTCTGCTGGAGCCTGTGTCCTGGGACCATGCCTGGATCTCGGGTCTACTGGAATTCCAAGCTGGGCTGGGGAGGTTGCTGAGGCACTGGCTGGACGTCCCTGTGGGGCTGCTGGGTCCCTCTGAGGTTCCACCTACTGCTGACCCGGTAGGGGAGGAGAGCTGCAGCAGCCTGCGGCTGGTAGTCAGGAAGCTGGTACTGAGAAGAAAGTGACAGCGAGTACCCATTCAACATACAGTCCACAAGGAGTCAAAGGGATAAATGCATAGACAGCGACGTGTTGAAATGTATTCCATGTTCTTATTCAGTACCCACATAAATGTAGGCAAAATTTGCAGCAGAGTAAAAATTGACAAAATTGTATGCCTCGCTGACGAGTTCCACAGACTTATGGAGACTGCATTCAAACAGAACGCTTTCCTCTGCAGATCCCGCTGTCTCTTGCACACTCGCAAATACACTTTCTATATTATGTTGAAGTCTGACTACTCCATTTGTGTGAATACGTACAAATCTCTGTGTGACCTCACAATGGCGTGTGAGCTGCCGTTGTGAAGGGAAGATGACTGACCCCCAGAGACCATGGCCAGAAGCTGCCTGTAGACCTCCTTCTCGTCTTCACAAACAGACTGGACAAACACAAAGAAAACCCATGAAACAAATGAAGAAATGCATCAACTCAGTGAGCAGGAATTACATTAGTCTTTGTATCTGACCTGCTGTGCTGTGCAGCGCGGCTTGGCGTTGTGCATTTGCCCAGATGAGTTGCTGTGAGTTGGGCTCTGCACCACTTTAATGGGAAAGATTTTCTCATACATACTCGGGCAGGAGCTGTTTGCCACGCCGCTATAACTGGAGACACAGCAAGTAATCGTAATTAAAACATCCAGAAAAAAAAACAACCAAAAGGGATATTTTTATTTAATGGGGAAGTTAGAAACAAATGATACAACAAATACCTCTGTGTTGCATTTGGCCGAAGGTGTAGCGGCCTGCCTAGCCGTGGAGACGGGTGCAACTTTGGGGTGATGGAGGGTGGCACGGTGACTGAATGCCCGTTTACTTTTGCAACTTTCCGATGTGCAGGACTCATGCACACTTGTCGCCTGCAGACTTTTGATCCCATAACGTGCCTCTCATTGCGCGACCATTCTAGAGTTGATAAACGGTGGAATAATTATAATTCTTTCTGAGAGCTCAAAGCCCTGCCTCAAAAGCACTTCACAACACTTGAAGAGGTTTTACCCGATTTGGTTTTCCACTCCAAAGTTGTCGATGGGGCAGCAAACGTCTCATTAAGACAGTTCCTTTCAGCAAGCTTAAACCAAACAATAGATGACATGTTGAAATCAAGACAGAACAGGGTTTTTTGTTTTTTTAATCTCTACCGTCAGGCCCCAAACATGTGTTGCTTACCGGCGTCTCAGCCCAGACTCCTGCCGCTGATGTTGAGGGCTGCGGCTGGCGTTGTCCAGGTGGAGAACCAGGAAAGGTTGCCAGCATGTTGCTCAAAGTAGGACTCACGCTGCTTCTCATCCATGAAGCCACACTGGAGCTGTGACTCTTAACACCTTCCGCCGCAACCTTGACGCTGTCAATAAAATCTCCTAAAAGAAATGTGATAGAGAGGCAGGATTGTAAGTGGGCTAATACGAATAACTGCACCGCTACATGTACTCACACCATAATATGTGACATAGTTAGTTAATAATTACCCATTCGAGATTTTTTTACGATTGATCCATCGTGGTCGCTGTTATGACGATCTTCCACACTTAAGAGAGAAAAGCAGTTACACGTTTAGTACCCATTCAGACAAACTAAAAGTAGTCAATTACTTAATGTAACGAAAAAAACAAATTTCAATCGCAAAAGTGACCAGGGAGCAAATAAAGGGCAGGTCTACCGAAGCATCCCACTTACGTTGGTCATAAATAACTTTTAACAACTGTGGTCGCCCTCATTAACTTGCGACACGGTGGAATGATGATATTACAGCTCATACCATTCAATTGTTCTTTTCCTCCTCAACGGAACATCGCCCGGCGTCCGGTGTTCACCGCAGTCGCCCGCAGCTGGTTCCCCGTTGCGGAGATGGGCAATGCCAGTTCCTATCAACTCGTAGATGTGATTCAACATGGCTCAAAACTTTTAGAAATAACGCCGCAGGTTCGGGGAGAAGTCTCCGTAACGTTAGCCACTTCAAGTCTAACGTTACCTGTCAATATAGTCTAAGCGAAGGAAGCCAGTGCGCTTCATTCGAATGAGGTGGGTTAGCTGGGGCTTTTTCAAAGGCTAACGCTCGCCGTTATCATTTTTACAAACCCCCACGAAACGCGGCGCCCGTTCGCCAGACAGTTGAGAATTAGCTGGTTTCCTAGCTAGCACACTGTGCTAACTACCTCGCTAGCTAAGGCTGCTACGACGCGGCTAATTTATGGAAGTGTGTTTAAATTCCAGCAGGATTGTGGCAAGTCGCAACCAACGCGTTCGGAAAAACGGTTATCATTTTGAGTAACACCCTAACTCGTTTATATATCATATACGCGACTTTAAAAAGCAAATAAACTCGTTGAAAAATATTATCTCCCGCTTCTTCCTCATTCAAAACCACAACATGGCTGAATAGGGCGCTTTTCCATCGGAGGTTGTGATTGGATGACTGGGTGCTGTAGACCTGAGTGAACTCGTTTTCTACTGGTTAATAGTAGACAGGAGGGGGCCATTTAATCTTACGTCACACTTGCTTTGACTTATGAACACATGGAAGCAATTATTCAGTGTAGCGACGTTCGTATCTTCTCACTGTCTTCTGTGATTCTTTTTCTCATTAGAATTTCAATGAAATAATCCAATTTTTATGCCAAACACATACAAGTTAAATACAAACAAAAATTAAGGCATTTGAGAACTGTGAACAAGTTCTCAAATGCATTGATCATTTATTCATAATGGGTGTTTTTTTAGAAAGGTTGTTAATATTTCAAGTACACATTAACTCAGTTAATTGAAAGATGGAATAAATGCAAGATAAGAAGTTACCCTGTTCATGATTCATTTCCTGCCAACTACTACGTGACCTTAAGCATGATCCTTAAACAGGCCTACTTTTATCCACCCATTGGAATTGTGTGGACCAAACAGCCAGAGGGAAACCTGAACGCAGGAATACACAACTTCCAAAACCAAAATAGGTTTTGATAGAGTTCCAATTTGTACTATTATGTGTTTGCAAATGAATATACGCTTACTGGACTAAACGGTAGAATGACCCTTCTCATTATACTAGAACTTAACACTAGAACTATGGCTCCAAGACGGATGTAGTGGGAAAAGCAACTTCAGACGCAGCGGAAATGATATTAAATGTTAGATTGCTGGTAATTAACATGTCGGGAATATATTCTATTTTAACAGAAGAAGCTTTAATATTACAAGAGGATATTCATATCATAAGAAGACACCTATAACACTGTGGTGTTTAAGCGGACAGTATAAAATTATGTTCATGTCAATTTTGAAAACTGGCATAACTTTTTTTTCTTTATTGATTTTTTTTTCTTTGTTACATGGACTAAAACTACTACAAAAGGTAATGTAGAAATGTAAGGGCACATTATTACTTTTTAAACAGGAGATACTCAGTAAGTCCATTCAGACACATTCACCCTTTAATAAATCAGTACAATAACACTAATGTGACGGTTAAATGCAGGGTGCTAAAAATAAAATATATTGCATCAATATCAGCACATAAAGGTCATCCAAGGCCACTTCAGACAACTTATGAATACATATCAAGCTTCAGACTCACTATTTTATATCACAGACTATCTGAAATATATCATTGTCATAAAAAAATAAACCTCAAATGTCTTTCCATGAATACAGGCCTTATCAAAAGTTAGAATGAATATATGCATGTATGGCACTGTCATCTTTATATTTGATTATCATATGAAACCACTTCAGACCAAATTAATATGTTTAAATAATATCATCCCGAAAATGATAATGTGAAAAATGAATGTCTTTCATTAAAAAAAATATATATGTCTACACAATCGTCATTCAGGTTTAAACACACATTTAAAAAAATGACATACTACTAGTAATCACAGCAATGGGATGGCAAAGAATGACAGCCTCACAGTTAAAGGGAGTAAAAGCAACACATAGACAAAAACAGCATGGGGTTTCATGTAATTCACAGCACTGAGACAACATTGGTAATGTTTGAAAATACAGGAAAAGGTTTTTTTAAATCACATTTTTGCTTTCAGTCATCCAACCACCACTACCAACAATAGCCCAATGATGTAATGACTGCACATGAGAGAGATAAGTCTTTTTAAGAGTCATGCATAATGTGTTAGGGGATCACATACCTCTCAAAGGGCCCTGACATTTTTTGTTTTGTTTGCAGGACTTTTGTGGCGTCCAAGCAGGTATGGACTTAGAGACACCCACAGAACTTCAGATGAACACTCACGTCTATGTTAAGTGGAACATGATCACTGATTGTTTCTTGCTGGTAAGCAAACCATAATGTGGGGTGGGTTAACAACATGCTAGAGGAGGGAAAGGTTGTTGATCTTTTGGATGGGAACACTGACGTACATCTATGTACATGTCTAGCTGTACAAGATATTCCCAACGTATGTGGGAACTTATCAGAAAAAGGCATAAAATAAAACATCAAAATCACTTCTGCTTATATTCATATCACGTCTGCTCATATTCCCATCCCTTACAGGGAAAAGGTGAGACGATGGTTTAGTCCCGTTTTGAGCCGAATATTTGGAGGAAGAAGGAGAAGATGTAGATGATATCCAGGTAGATGTTGAGAGCGGCAAAGACGTACTCTTCTGGACTCATGGTGTAGCGCTTGTTCCCCATGAGCAGCTGGGTGTCAAATGCCAAAAACTGCCACAGAACACAAGTAAGATATCTTTCTGTTTTTTGTCTGATTCTTAGAGAAAAGAATACATACTTGAGTGTAAATGCTCCCTTACCATTGTAAACAATATGGCTCCTAGGGCAGCGTAGGTGGCATCCAACCACGGTACCTAAATGGCAAAGAAATGACCTAATTAGATGCAATAAAAGTGTTTTAAATACATCTTCCAAATTCCAGTACACCATGACACGAAAAAACGTACCTGCCTAATTTAAAAGTTACTTACATATTGATAGGGAAGGACAAGTGCCAGCACCACTCCAGAGACAAACATGACCATGCAGAAGACAAAGAGCACGCCTTGGCATGACGTCACGTCGAACTAGATGGAGGAAGCACATGAAATCAAACTTTTGTTAATCCAACAGCGTGAAAGGCTGACATGGAGGATGATGTCATCATGCATACAGTTTATCAAATAACATATGAAGTATACGGTATAGCAACATTGTTTTTTCTAACCTTAGTTTGGAAGCTGAAGACTGTGACCAAGAGACAGACTGCTGCTGTGATGCCCAGACACATCACCACTGACTTGGTGTTATAGAAGCTAATCAAATAGGAACAAAACAAGTTTTATACAGGCATACATAACTGGCTACACATAAAACATCATATACTGTAAAAAAGATTCAAGGCAGCCTTATTATCTGGAAGCCATTGTCATCATTCAAGCTGAGGAGAAAGTCTAAATGCATAAAGAGACGATGCTAAAGTAACACAAGACAATGACATAAAACTGGGAGCCAATATGAACGTGTACCTGGACAACATCCCCGTCATGTACGACAGGGAAAGGGTCTGCAATAGAAGATATAATACTCATATCAAAATGGAGGCATTTGCTGTAATAAAATCTATTTATAAATTAGGTATAGATCATTTTATAATTTAAATTTACAGCCCTTGCTTGAGTTACATAGCGAAAATTGTTGTTAATCTATAAATGTTTAAGTTGTTTTGAAAATACTGCTAATAAACAAGTCTATTCATGAAAAGCATATCATGTTTGCCGCATACTTACAAAGATGGCGAGCAGAATCAGATTCCATGGAAACTGTCTCCTGTAGGAGTGAGTAAAGTTTGGAATCACAACTCTGTTTTTGCTTGTTGTTGATGTGCATTATATTTGGAGAACTTTTAACTTACCTCGGTGCAGCGCAGCAAGATAGCGTCAGATATGTGACAAAGAACACAGCACTGGAAAACAACAGAAAGATAAATAAAGTTAAATATTTATTAAGATGACAGTAGCATGAACGAATAAGTATACAGGGTAACTTGTGTATTACTGAGTCTCCACCCGTTACTTACTAAGAGGCCCAGTACCAGCCGGGGTTGGATTGGATGTAGTTTTTCACCGGCTCACTAAAGGGAACATGAAGGTCATAATTTCCGTCACTAACTGGAACTACTTGTTAAATATCGTTACACAAGAAAGACGATGGAAAAGACTTTAGATTATTATTAAACTCACCAAAATGTGAAAATCGCCACAATCGCGAGAGTCACCAAAAGTTGGATCATCAAAATGGCGTACACCTAAAAGAGAAAATCAAAAAAACATTGCATGTGTACTGGTATGTGTTGAGCCGGCCTTTAAAGTTCATCAACATTCATCAGAGGTAAATTATCAATAAAGCTTTTTGATACCTTACGGATAAAGACCCTCCTGATGTTGCGATCATCCCAGCTGAATTCTGTGAGCATCTCGACATCATCGTAAGCAGCGCTGGTGCCTGGAAGACACGTTCATATGAGTCTCTTTGGTGGTTAAGATGAATGTGTATAACATGACACATGTGTAATCCACAATAGTGCCATACTGTATGGCACTATTGTGGATTACACATGTGCAAGTATGTATGGCCCATATTGTCCCAAAACCCAAGAGAACATCACCAAATGCATTTGTTGACGATAATGACTTTATACCTGCAGTGGCTTCCTCATAGCTGGGAGGAGTCGGGGACACTAAAGCCTCAACACTGGAGGAGACATTGGAATCCTTGTTTGCAAGTGACAGCTGCCGCGGTAACACAAAAGATTAAGAAGTTGTTATATATTTTATTTTATAGCCTTTTACACATTTAAGGGGAGGGTTAATGGAATTAAAAAAATAAAAGATGGTGAAATGTTACTACAGAGCACCTTGGTAATCAGTTTGATACACATTTAAAGAATAAACGTTTATGGTGCAAATTATCACACTGTTAGAATGCATACTATTCAGGATGGTTACCAGTGAGTCATACTGCACAAGCTGCCTCATATACAAAAGAAAAAACTTCGCTCAACTGATGGCAGATGCGCTGATATCAGCTGGCTCGTCTCTAAATTGAACTTAAAATAATGATATTTCGTAAGTGCCGATGCCCTCTAAGAGGGGTTTGACTGACAGGCTGCCACGGATCGTAATGCGGGAGCGTCGCATAGTTTATGAGCCCCGGTTTCTTGTGTCAGGTGACGTTGAATACGCGATCATCCTTCGGCTCACGGAGCATCGGTTTCTCGTTATTAATTCATTCGCTATTCCACTGCGCTGTTTGAGAGTCTGAAAGTATTTATAACTAGGCAACACTGTTTTAACGGTCCCAGCGGCTTTGCCCCGGAGCTGTGGGGAAATAAATGGGTTGTCATGGTGACGCACATGGTAAAAGAGCCTGTGACGCATTTCACTGGTAAACATTCGGTGTTCAAGTGTCAACCGCTTTGAAATGGAGGGAAACGCGCAACGCACATCTTTTGAGCACGGATAAAAACATATATAACACCTTATGTAACGGAGGTTATTTTGTGGCTAGAAATTCTAAATTTACCGCAGGACACAAAACCAGTTACTAAAATCCACTACCTAAAGTTTCAGTAATTAATTCAAATGACTCAGTGTGTAAATTGCCATTGAGGGTTTTCACAACAGACTACAGGCGACGCGCACATCAATTCACTGTTATGTAATAATCTGGAGCACAGACAGAAAGGAAAGATGGACTGAGTGAGTGATTGAGCCGACACATACCTTGCCCTGTGTCATGATGGCTGTGGCGTCCTGCAGTAGGTCGTCTTGTTCTGTATGCCAGCTGCTCTGTGACGATCTGCTGCCTCTCCTGTGGTCGATGTGGTTCTTTCAGTGTGGAGCTGGAGGACTGGAAGCTGCGTGGAAGGACCTCCGATTGACTGTGCGGTTCCTGCTCGCCGTGACTGGGCACCATGTGACGCTTTAGTGATGTAATTCCGAACCAACGCATTTATAACTCGTGCAGATACCCCTCCCTCACCCACCGAGGGACGCTTCTAGCATCGTCCAGGCTGCACCATTGAAGATGAAAAAAAAAAAAAGATGGGCCTGTTTGGCAGCAGGAGGACAATGCTTATGGATTGAAATGCAAGAATCCCACTAATATTTTAAAAAGTAGCTTTTTTTCTGCTTGAGCAGACTCAGAATATATTTTTTCCTTAACAAAAAATATTTTATATGGAACTATTTTGCATTATTTGGAAATCCGAAATATATTACTCAAACATTAACATGGCAAAAATATACATTCCAGCTATATCAGAGAAAAACATGAATTATGTACGATTTATTTATATGTGTAAAGAGCACAGATAATGAGAAAATGTCCCAAAGATGAGGCAGAAGCAGCTTTCAATGCAAAACAGATTCTTCTTTGAAATTAAATTAAACAAAGTAATGCAAGAACAGACGATCAGATACTGCATGGCGGATACAAGCTGTCATGAGCTTATTGTTTTCATATTTATTAAACAACTCTGTCAACTCTTTTTACAAAAGTTTTTTTGTAATATAAGATGGATTGTTTAAGACTACTGATCCCCATGTCCATTAAATTAATCATATTGTGTGAAACACACCAGTAGATCTGCACACAGTTGGGTAGAAATGCGTCATCTGGAATAGAACAACAGTTTACTTGACAATTGACGGTTGATATGGCGGTTTTTCCAAAGCAGCTGTACACAGACAGGATAGGTATAAAAGTCCCCCCCCCCCCCCCAAAATAACAACTAAGAAGCAACACAAAAATAACAATAAATGTAGGTGTAGATACCCTCCAGTCATGAATTTGGCAAACTATAAACTAATGAACATTGGAACGCATGAGGTTTCTACTTTTAGCCGCACAAAAACAAAAAGGCATTCAATCATAAATGAATATGTTGTTCATCTCCTCAGTACATCTCCCCCTCGTCTCTAGTTCCTTCCGTCTCCAGCCTCAGTTCCGTGTCATTTCTGCCCAGAGTGAAGAGACTGACTACAGCCATCAAAGCGGCCAGCATCATTACTGCACAGCCTCCAAACATGTGTCTGGTGCCGGTGCCCTCCTCCCCGCCGCCTGTTCCCGAGATCTCCCCATGAAGCGCCAGCAGCCCTATGCAGGCCAGCAGGTGCAGGGGCAGTCTGAACCAGGCCAGCACACTAGCCCGCTTCTCCTCTGGGATCACCCTGGCCTGGAGAAAGCTAACAGCGGGGAAATAGAGGCCACAGGCCAACTCCAGAAGCAGGAAGGCCAGGAATGATTCATGAGGTCTGGGCTGGCCCGGGGTCGTTGAGAAGGTCAGCATGAAGAGGGAGAAGAAGGCCATCAGCACGGCTAGGCAGAGGACGTGGCCGGGCTGCAGACGATAGTGCGTAGAGGTGGCCACGCGGTACAGCAAGGAGCCGGCCATGCTGGCGGCCATCAGGCAAGAGAACACTATTCCCAAAGGAGCTCCATGAGGGTCCAGCACCGGGGTCCACAGGAAAACGAAAATGTAAAGCACACTTTCAAACAGAGCCTGCACTCCACCCAAGAGCATGACTCTCCTGTCTGACAGCAGGCAACGCAAACCATCATGGCAGCTGCGTGAGAGACGAGTCCTTGCCGACAAACGGGTCACGCCTCCACTTGGAGGGCCATGGGTCAGTTTTTGTTCATCCCCTTTGGGGCCGTCCCCAGCCTCTTCCTTGCCCCAGTCGGTCAGCACCACCCAGCCACAGCCCACAAGGCAAGGCACGGCCAGGAGAAAGGGAGCCACCGGCCCCAGGTGAAGCCACTCGGCTAGCAGGTTGGCCACCAGCCCGGCTCCCACGGCGAGCCCGTGATTCCAGGTAGCGGCCTTGGTGAAGGTACCGGGGATCCACTCCTTGGGGAAGTCGTGTACGTCCACGTGACGGTGCACGTACCAGGCTTCAAACGTGGTGCTGAGCAGGGACGTGGACAGACCCCCCAGGATGCGACCAAAAATCAAAACAAAGTAGTCTCTGGACAGCTTGGTGAGACAACAAGCACAGTAGGACAGGCAGAAGAGAAGACACGTCTGTCGGCGACCCAAGACCTGAGGCAGCCAGGCCGAGAAGGGAGCAAAGAGGACACAGGAGGCCAGGCCACACACGTACAAGATGGCTATTTGGGATTCCAGGAAGCTGTAGTGACGGTACAGCTTGTAGAGGTAAGGGCCCTGGAGCCAGTCTGCCCACAGAGCCAAAAGGTACGCCCGGAGGAACACGCTCTGGAAGCGACGGAAGACGGGGTTGGCCACGGCAGGAGTAGACTGAGGTGGGACCAGGCGGCGCCCCGCGAGCTCCAGGCCAACGCACAGGGCGAGCAGCAAGATGATGGCGAGGTACGCCGTCACCAACATGGTGAGACAATCGCGACCCTCCCCACCCACCGCACGAGGTCAAACCAGAGGTCCCGCTGCGCTTTCAAACAGCTTCCTTCTATTTCTCAGCACCTGTGGAGAAAGTAGAAGTACACGAGCGTTAACGTTACCAATGAAGTTAGCGAGCGATAAGTAGCGTTATACTCCTGTTAATATTCAAAATGTAATATGTATAATTTAATATAATACATGACATAACCATGCGCTAAGTGACGGTAGTAGAGTGAGTGTTGCCTTACAGCGGAAAGCCGGACATGCAACAGTACAGTTTTGTTTGCATTAGACACGCACACAGCGGCTAATGTCACATGCTAGCGCTAGCCTAGCCTACGAGCTAAACTGCTAACGACGTCAACATAACAGTCCTCGCTGACTTTCGCCACCAGCACATGGTATACACTTTTGCACCGTGAGGTCTTACCGTGACATTTGACCGCAGTCCCATATTAATTAAGTTACTCGAACAACACAACACAACATAACGGTGTGATGGTGTGTGAAAAGCTACAGCGGCTTCCGGGCTTCACTTCCGGGGTCTCACAGCCATCATTCCACCACCAGGCGGCGTCACTGCTTTGCTTTTTGCTTTTTAGTGGCAGGAAAAAACGACTTCTGTCCAGACGTCCCCAGGTCGCCGGCTACTTTCTCAGAAGGCCAGTCCACTCTTGAAGGACGTATTTGATTCATTTAAATGACGTATAGTACGTCATTTAAATGATCTGTATTGGTACCTGAGGAATGTGTTTAAAAGCTCTGCTGATGTGTGTGACGTGCTTTGATGGGAATTAACCGAGGTGCTGTTGTGCTGTCTGACCTAGATTTTGAGCTCAGAAGGCAATAATCATTCTTAAAGTGAACACAGCCTGATGGTGCAAACGTGCCAGCGCACACTTTCAGTTGCAGTAGGTTAACCATTATTATACAGCTTATTCTTTAGCAGGTGGCACTGATGTAAGGTGATTAGGAGCCAGTGGTTTAATACTAAATCTGAGCAATTTATCATAATAGGTAAGGTCTTTGTGTTTTTTCATTTGAAATCTTAATCTGAAAAGTAACCAGTGGCTATTGTTACCAAATAAATGTAGCAGAATAAAGTACATTTTTTATCTAAAAGTTATTGAAGAAGTACAAAAACACCATAAAAGCAGTAAGTACCGCAATATTGCTTAACCATCACTGGTACTGACTAAATCTCCATTACTGCATTTTCCCAAATGGACATTAAAATATGACACACAAGCAGAGTAATACATAAACTTTATATAATTTTATCATTTATATTTTGGAACAAAGATTTACAAAATGTACAAGACATGCTCAATCACCCCAAATCAATCAAGCAAACTGTGAGACCAATAAATTAAGATCTCTCCCCCAAAACTACCTCTTGTTTGTATGACAAATGTTGAGGGCAGAGGAAGGGTGCAAGTGAAGGGAGTGCTGGTGATTTAAGCGATTATGCTGGTTGGTTATGTCATCTCACAGAACGATTTGTGTCCAAGCCGTCTGACCCTTGTCATGGCCAAACCCTCACCAGCTGCAGAAGGGGCAGTGCCTCCTTCTTGACACTACACTCATCTGTTCGATCCATCGCATCAATTTCATCATTAATACATAAACATTAGGGAAACGTTATATTTATAGCATCAAAAATAAACAAAGGAACTACAAAACCCAACATGCACGAGGCGCCAGTGCTGCTGCCATACAATATAATGACGCAGACAAAATAAAATATGATGCCGTTGGCAAAACTTTGGTGTGCCATTTCTTTTTTGTGGAGGATTAGTTCATAATAGTAAGGGACAGAATACATCGTACCGTGTACAAGTGATAAAATAGTGGTGTCATTCCAGCATTTGGACAGATGGTATGTTTGTGAAACGGTGATAAATAAGTACCTTAACATTTCAGATGTTGCTATATGCATTCTATAAAGGTTCTCTTCCTCTTAAACCCAGGCTGACATGCCAATCATCTCTAATAGTTCCTAAAGGATTTAACGAATAAACAGAAGTGAGCTGGCTTTTTTTCTTAGGTGCACTGAATATAATTCTAAATCTACATGGCCGTTATTATATATTGGAACAATGTCTCTCAAGAGGTGTTGTATATTTACTCAAAACATAGCATTTAAATCAAAATATCTCTCTTATGTAAAACCACTGCTCAAATTGCACAATTCCGTTTTTTCCTCAACTTTAAGGAAAGTCCTGTCCTTGGAAGAGAATACGTGCGTGTGTTTCGGTGGTCTCCTCTATAATTCTTGTAAAACAGTTGGCAGAGTGCTCTGTGAAGAACTGCCCGCTCAAGGGTCGATGCGAAAGGCTAACAGCTTGTCTGAGTGCAGATTGTTGAGGGTGCGCAGGTCGGGCAAGCAGAGAAGGACTTTGGGGAAGAGAGTGGTGTCTTCTGGGCGGCGCAGAGTGATCAGTGACCGAAGGGCACGGATCAGACCTTCCTGCAGCTGCTCCACAGCCTGCATGTCTTTGATGCCGAAACGATCTGTGGAGCACAGACGGAGACCAGTGTGAGAGGTCGACACACACAGTTTCTATATTATTGATCCATTAAACAAATGCAACTGCTCTGCAGCTTTTGTTAGTGTTTTTTTTTTTAAACAACCGATTTAGTAAATAGCACCTCTCACCTGCAGAGACCAGCACCACGGCCATAAAGAGGGCCATTTCATCAGGCTCCAGCCACAAGGCGCCCAGCTTCTCGTTGAAGTTGAACATTGCGTCCAGCAGAGAGCCCATGCCCAGGGCCCGCAAGGTGGGCAGCGGGTAAGTTTGGCCGTTCAGGAAAGTTACTGTACGCTCGTCAGCCTTGAACAGGGTGCAGAACCTAACCATCAGCACCTAAACACACAAGAAGAAAACAAACACAGGTTTGAGGCAAACACTAAAACCAATAAAGAGTTTGCATTCACAAAGAATCCAAAATGAATGTCATTACCTGGAAGGTGCCGGACTTCAGCAGCAGGACCTGGTCTTGTTGGCTAAGCTCCTGAAATCCTGGGATGCCCTTGGCAAACTCTACCACCTCCTTGACAGCCGGAGTGAAACACTGCGAGAAGGATTCCCATATCTCCTGACTCGTGCGCCCCGCCCCTGATACCGGCCACGCATTGAGCGGACAGGCCTTAGAGGAAGACGAAGGACATAGAAAGAATCATAAGCTGCCTCTCAGGCAAGTTATACATCACCAAGTCTGGATCTGTTTTAATATGCTTCCTGCACTTACCAACACTTTTGCTCCTGAAGCTAATTTCCATGGGCAGGTGGGCTGATTTGGGGAACTTCCTGCATTGCAAAAACTGTTCCGATTGGCCGAACATCCTCTTGTAGAGGTTGCACCGTTGGACTGATCATGGCTGTGATTTGTTGATGTGAAGTAGGGGTAGCAACTGTTGTCCCCGTTGAGGAATGCAGGTTGGTCGTCATGAGGGGCAACGGGGCGTGGAGTGGCAGACGCAACGGGGCAAGAGTTATAACTGAGGGTGGAGGTGGGGTGAGAGAGGACTCGGGGAAAACTGGCACCCTGAGGAAAGGGAGATGTGATATCGTCGGTCTTGGCCGCTCTCTTGCGGCTGTTGCTGCTGGTGAAGATGTCACGGTAGGCTCTGGAGATGGCCCCAATGGCCTCCTTTGAGTGGCCCTCTTCTGGGCTACTGGGAGTCTCCCTCGCTGGAGGTGACTCCATGGCCACCGACTCATTCAGGCTGTTCATGTAGCTTTGCATCTCATCCAGAAGTCGCTGCTTCTCTCTCTTGGGGATGCGGCCGAAACGTACAGCTGGAGAAGACACAGGAGGACAGATGAGCTTTAGGTCATTGTCACGACATGGACATTCCCACTGGATATCTTTTGTTCCTTTGCAGAGGTTTCTGAAATGACTTGAAATTATATTCGAGACAAATTTGTTATGGATCAACAGGCATCCTAACGATACAGGTGTTGCCCCTTCGAGACGAACTGCCTAGAAATTGGTGAAACATTTTATGCACACACATGTAAAAAAATATTATGAAATCTTGTGGGATTTTGAGGTTGAATCACGTACGTTTTGATACAAAACTTCCTTCTGTTCACACATACTTCCATCCACATTCCCGTGGTAACTATCAGCTGGAGAGTCTATTTATAGACCCCCTGCTACCATCTGCGTCAGCCTCTCCTCTATCTACCGTCTCTTTCCTCTCCCGCTCCCTCCTTCCATTTGTAAGTAGGGCAGTGGGGCAACGTGTGCTTGATGTCCCTGACACTGAGCATGTGAGAGGGAGAAGGATGAGAGAGGAGCGCTTGGGAAGAGTTGAGAAGACAGTGAGTGAGAACATGAAGAGGACTGACATGAGGGACGGCGATGCAGGCAAAGAACGTCTGCCTGTGTATGTCAGCGTAGTTGATAAGGCAGAAAGGTTGCACTGAACTTCAAAGACTTTTAAAATTTTTTTTTATGTATATCAGAAAATGAATAGCAGCAATAATCTTTGTAGGCTGTTATCGTCTTTTGCTAAAGATAAGCAAGTAAAACCCAGTAATATTCACAGTATGCCAGGGTTTAGGAAGGAAACGGTAATCTGTTTATTGTCAACGGGATGCTTTGATGAGGATGTGCGGATGTTTCATGAGATGACTCCTTTCCATCGTGGTTAAAATGAAGCAAATGGTGCTCTGGTTTGAGAAAGAAAAGCGTGCCAACATGCCGATGGACTTAATTAATGTCAATATGCTGCAGAGCCAATGTGAAAAAGCTGGCAGGTGTGAAATGAGGTTGTACTATTTATTGTGGTCTGCAGGCAGTTGCCTGCGGTTTTCCTGTTTTTGTAATGATTAAAGCTGAGCAAAAGGGGTTTCTAGGTTGTGGTCCTTATTGTTTTCTCTAAAAAGGGTCAACGTGACTCTTTGTACTCTTAATTAAGTCGTTTATTGCCAACCTATTTTCTCCGTGCACCAGAAGTATCGAGCACATGCAGAAAAAACCCAAACCGGTTTACTACATTAGGTAATGCAGGGTGCTGAAGGGTGGAGATGAACAGGAACCATACTGAGAAGAAGGCAGGCGCGCTACACCAAGTAGGTCATGATGTACGAGCACACCAGAGGCCAGATTCTGTATTGTTTTTCTAGGTCAGCCGAGCTGTGTTTTCTTAATCTGTGTGGATAGGCGATCAATCAGTGTTCAGTTATCAGAACTTAAACTTGGCCATGTGAGCATCACGCCTGGTAAAGTCTGTCACGGCGACTTAATTGTTGCCCCATCCCTCATTAATTGCAGTGAGATGTTCTACGGGCATACACAAGGTAATCAAGTTGACCCCCTTTTCAATTTCCTAAAAATAATTCCTGTGTTTGCCGCAGTTTTTAAAATGATAGATGGCTTCTGGGACTTCAAGGCTCCTCTTCTCATAAATCACTGTCTGAGAGGGAGACGCAAAAGAGCTGAGGGAACATGGTGGGAGGAGAATGGGCCGTACTGAAACAAGAACATAAAGGAAAGCGGGTTGTGGGAGGATGCTGCAAAGGGCATTCAAAGGAAACTTGGGGAGACCAGGCCAGATAGACGTGTTTGGCACTGCACCGAGGGACAGCGCAGGAGAGCAGGACACTCTGCTGATAAAGTGAGAGGCTGAGCTACTGGCACCATGACCTCAAAAAACTTTCCGCATTACATTCTCCACACAGACCTACATATCGGCACCGGCACTCTCTCGGGGCAGCCTGTTTCCCTGCCGCTTTGGTTTATCGGAGCACTCCGGTAGAACTGTCACAAAGGCTGGGGAATGTGAAAGTCTCACCGTCTCTTGACATGCCAACAGAGAGGCATTTCTTGAAGCGACAGTGCTGGCACCGGTTGCGGTTCATGCGCATGATCAGACAGTTTTCATTCTTGACACACATCTTGTAGTTGATGTTCTGCTGGATGCTGCGGCGGAAGAAACCCTGAGAGAAAGAGATGACGATAAACGAAGAGCATATGTCAGCGGTGAACTGAAGCCTGAGCACCTGAGGGACTCACTTCACATGATTTCTTCCGGGGGCTTACCTTGCAACCTTCACACGCGTGCACTCCATAGTGGAAACCGGAAGCAATGTCTCCGCAGACTTTGCAAAGCAGAACCATTCCCCCCGTCTCTGAGGAAGGGCAAACAGACAGTTCACCTAAAACGTCCACCGTGGTGTGAATCTCCCCGAGATTTCCCCCGACAATGAGGAAACCCTTACTTGTGAACGTTCCTGTGAAACCGCATGGCCTCTTTCCTGCGATGGGGTGCGCATAGGTGTTCTGCGGGGCGGCTGGCGTCCGGGAGGCGCTGTAGATCTCAGGGAACTGAAATATCAGCTTGGGGGGAGAGGTGGCGCTCCCAGACGCCCTGTGTTTAAACGCCCCGATCTCTGTGAAGGTAACCTCCTCCGGGGACGAGGGCTGGGAGTGCGAACAAGGGGACTGTGTCTGGTACCCGCTGGAGGGGCTGCCGGGGCCGGGGCTCGAACTGCCGGAGGAGCCCGCATACAGGATGACTCCTGCAAAGCACACGGCGTCATTTAGATACCATCTGATAAATTACGCTCCATTATTCAACCGTGTTGGGATTCTGTAGTGTCGTATCCATATTCCCCGTAAACTGGGTTAGTGCGGCGTGATGTCATTTTGTGAACAGCTCTAACAATTTCGATGCGTCTCATCCTTCATGCTCAAGCGGGTGATGTGGGGGCTAAAAATACTGCTGGGAGCACAGCAACAAAGTCTGCAGGCTTCCAGTAGAGGCGCACTTATAAAAAAAAAAAAATCCTGCGTCATGTTAATGCGGCAATCGTAGATGCACAGTGTAAATAAGTTCTCTCTCTCTCTCTCCCTCCCCCCCGCCCTCCCAGAGGCCTCACGTGAGGGGTGGGTGGAGGTGGGGGGGGGGTGGTTGGGTGTCCACTGCCACCTCCACTCCTCTGGCACGGTGCCCAGCACGAGCCGACAGAAACGACGCCTGCGTGCACTGCTGACACGGTTACTAAACAAAACATTACAAAACGTTCCAACCGAATGTGGATCCCATTTAAAAGTGGATTTCTTGCTGGGCACGTGAAGGTGTTTGTTCTAGTTGGGCTGTGTTCGATAATCCCTCAGGCCGGCACGTGTTGGGAGGTTTGTTGACTCACTCCAGACTCAAAGACGGACCCAGCAGAGGCAGGCCTGAGCCTCGCCTCCTCCACCAGTTTACGCTCCACCCAAACACATCACATGTCCACCCGAAGACACGCATGTACGGTGTTTATCATGAGCTGTGCTGTTAACCATTCACTTTTACAGTTTGCTTGACAATAAAACCTGCAAGGGTCACAGTCAAAAGGAAAACAGTTTGCTTTTATTATATTATATCATCTATAATCAAAGAAGATATTTTTACCATCTGCCCTGAAGGCGACAATGTGATATTGTCATTTTCTATATGTTTCATTTCAACATTAATATACATTTAATTATCCAAAATGAAAAATAAAACAGTACAGCTACTTTTATTCTATAGAACTGGCACCATGTGATATCAAACAACTACCGGTTTTACATATTTTCTTTCTTTCACGCCGCCTGAAATCCTTCCTCAAAGCCCATGTTGAGCTTAGCCTACCCATGCAAACACTAATCTGCCTGGACCTGCAGGCAGGCAGAGGAACGTAAGCAGGGAGCACTTTGCACGCACAGCAGCTCCTCTCCTCTGTTCTTTATCTCCTACTTCCACTCAGAATGAGAGAGTGCCTCGTAGCCTACCCTCGATGTGACCACAGTAGTTGTTTGCTCTCGTGGTGTAAACCGTATAAACAAAGCATGTGGTTTGCTTGGGTTAGAGCAATGCATTCTTAAATGTACTATAGAATATGGCCAATAACTAAAAAAATAGGAGTTGTGCTGCTGAACGTGGCCGATTTGTGTTTGTGTTTTCAACACACTTGGACTGTTAACTTGGACTAAAGTAAGGTCAATATCACAGGAACTCAGCAGAATGACTCAAACTGACGGAGGAGGTGTGAGTGAAGGAGGATTTGTATTATATCACTTATAAACACCACGATATGACGCATCTTTTTCAGCATTTGCACAATTCCATCGGGAGCGATTGCAGCCTTTTATGTGTTTTCCGCGCCGCTGTATTTTCGGCTTTAGCGTCGTCGAAATGGGCAATCCATCCAGCATGAGGCGGGAAAACGTGACGGGGGCGGGCTCCGAGAGGAAGGCCACGTGAGGAGGCTTCTCTGACGGAGTGTTCACTGGACGGACATGAAGCGGCGCTCCAGCCACCAGCCAGAGCCCCCACAGCCCGCCGGGGGATGGAGGGTTGGGGGGGGGGGGGGGGCAGAAAATTAAAAGAGAGGGTAGCGTGCTATGCGGCGGAGCGTTCCGACACTACCAGCAGCACCACCTGCACCAATTGGCCGGGCTGCTGCTTCTAGTTCAAAAGCAGTACTTGAAGTTCTTTTGTAATAAACCACCATGAGTGTGACGGGGACGTTCTGTATTTGTGTGAAAGAACACGCAGTCCAGAGAGGGAGGACGGCTGCTTTTTATCATGTGAGCAACATTTGACAGATGAATGTATTCTCATGCAACTAAACTCTACTCTTATTCACACGTTGAGGGAAACATTCCTCGGGGACTAGGAGGGCTGGTATTTGTGTTAAGAAAAACAACCGACTTCCACACCGCCAGAGTGCGGTTGAGGACGAGGATTTAGATCAGGAACATTGACCTGTGGCAAACCCATATTTCAAAAAGTCATCATCATGGGTTGTATGGCACATAATAAATGCAATAGCATAAATTAATTACTACAATCTTTTTGGCGGAAATAATCCATTTGCATGCAACCCGTAAAATCCCACAGTTATCTCTGCGGGAGGGATTGGGGCTCTGTGTCAACACACAAACACACACACACAATCTCCTTTTACCCCAGTTTTATCAGCCTAATCGCCCACCAGTGCAGCTATATTTCTTCCAAGTTATTACAATGTTACAAGCTTATACAGTACACCGACCTTATGAACAAACCGAAGTCACGTGCATTCCAATAACTAATCGAAGCGATCAGAGGTCGGTTCAAGGTGGTCGTTTGGATTTAGACTTAGATCGCAGAACAAATTACAGACTTATGGAAGGTTAAAAGATGGACTGCTATTACATCGCCTGTAAAATATTTAAATAGACAACCCTGAAATTGCCATATCTCCCCCCGCCCACAACACCGAGCATCCTCCGAACATCAAACACCACCGAAGCCCAGCAAGCAGCCGTCATCTCGATCGGCTGACTAATACTACACCTATTATCTCCGTTTGCTCGGTCAACTGCTGTGCACCGCTGGCCTACTTTGTCAACGGGAAGAGAATAGAAAGCCATAGTGGGGGGAGGTGGGTGCACACAGAGCGCGCCCATCACCTGGGCCGGGAACGTGACCGCGGTTTGTCAATGATTCACCGTAGATCGGGAGAGGAAAGCTGAAGAGCACGTGCTCCTTTGGCTGCCCTGGAGGAAGCGACGCCTAATGCCACTTAACGGATGGAACTCCCGCCGTTGTCAACTTTGCTGCTGCTGCGGCCGCGAAAGCATTGGCCTCGGTTATGGAAACAAACACGTCCTTTACGCCAAAGTTTGAGTGGGGTCAGGGCACAGTTGGAGCCGTGACAGATGATGATTAGAGTGACAGGCCGTGTACTCGAGGCACACGTGAGTTTGTTTTCATGGAGGAAAACAGGAAGGAGCCAATCTCACTACGCCATATGGCGCAGTCAGTGGAGCTGCAGCTCCGGCGATGCCATTTGAAACGCGTCGTACAACTACAACTGTTTTCATAAGTTTAGTGTTTTTAGTGAGGACTGATCTCAGTCAAACACATGACAAAAATACATTTAGTATTCTTCTATTGATGAGCGTGAAACCTTGTGAAGGTTGCACAATTTGGAACTTGTAGGTGTTTTACACAATAAGTCAAATAATCATTAATGGAAATAATAATAATAATATTTTTAGTGAAATAAAATGTTATGAAAGCTAAATACGTATCATTGGCTGACGGCAGCAACATGCATAAAACCACTAACCAGTGACTCTTTAATCATTACTGAATCCTATCTGAATCAGCACTGGTGTAAAAGAGCAGTTGTTCAACATAATATTAAAGTCACTCACCACCACCGGGGCTGTTATCCATGTGTCCTGTTGACGTCGATCACTTCAAGCAGACTCGACAAATAGCGGTCCGTGAATGTCACTGAGCTGGAGCAAAACTTTTTTGGAAGACTGGTGAGAAATAAAAATAAAAAAAATACAGCTTTGTTCCATGGAACGTCAAAAACGGGAGGAAGTGATGGGACTGATCTCCAGTGCGCGTAAAGTTGTCCCCCAGTCAGGTGTTCTCGGAGGTACCTGGATGCCGACTGTGCTCTGTGTTGTTGCGCCTGAAAGCTGCGTGTGAGCTGCACTGGCGGAGATTAAAAGATTTTCATGAATTCCAAGAGAGAAGAGTCAGCACATCTCACCAACAGTGTCGAGTATTGACACACACACACACACACACACACACACACACACACACACACACACACACACACACACACATGCACACACATACACACAACCTCTGACGCAATCAACCACCTCACTCACGTTTGCAGGTGAGTAGGAAATGTGACCGGCTGTCCCTTCTATAGCTCAACTTGTGTTATGTCTGTGTGGGATTTGGCTCACTGTTTGCACCTCAGTCGCCTCTCTCCCCCCCCCGCCTCCCCTTCACGCTGTTGTGCATTCTCATTGGCGGGGGGGGGTCTGGAACAGGGGGGAGTTGGATCTATGCCCCGCTACATGTGCGCTCTGCATGTGCCGGGGAGCGCGCGCTGCCCCACTGATACACATTTTATGCAAAACACGCAGCGGATGGAGCGGCTGGCGGATGAGGCACATGCACAATAGGCGTGGCTCACCGTGACTGTTCGTTCCGGTTTGTGCAGCGCTGCGGACGGAGGGTAAACACCGAGAACAAGCCAAACCGGAAGCAACTGTCAAGTTCAAAACCAATGTGCTTTCAGGCAACTCTAGAATTAAACCTCAATGTCACGCCAACAACATGCCTCTGGAGGGAGAAAATTCTGTATTCATTTTTTTGTTTGTTTTACCTTTTGAGCGCTTTCATTTACAGTTTTCCACTGTACACGTATTTTAAATGTATGTGCAGGGAAATGCTCTATAACATGCAGTCAGCAACAAAATCTGCAGCCTGCTGTGTAACTCCGGAGATATGGGTCAAGTGTGCACCGTTTGTGGAAAGCGCCCCCTAGTGGCACATGGTGGCCATGACACGTAAGCATGAGCTCTAAATGTGTTACTTAAAATGTCTCAGCGCAAGTACACTTAAAGGGTTATATATTATTATTCATACAATGTATGACTCCGATTCAGTCGATAAAATAATGTGCTTGAACATATAACCATCATGATGTTTTTTTTCTTTTCAACAAACCCAATAGGTTTTATTCAACACTTAAAACCGTTTCCGTTAATAATTAAAAGTCAGTTACAAAGCTTTAACGAAACCCTTAACGATGTATTATAATGTATTTATGTATTTAATCCTCATTTAGTTTTTGTTGCGTGCGCTCGAGGGGTTTTTCCTCCTCTGATCGACGGGACGCGCGCTGCGGTCCTTCTCCGCGTCGCTAGAGGGAGGCACAGCGCCAGAAATGCCCGCGCACGGTAGCTCGCATCATCGACGCCCTCCGAGCCGCAGGAGACATTGACGGATTGGCAACACACGAAGGCAATCTGACAAATGACTGGAATGATCTCTGGAGCGTCACCTTTTACCACGCTGGTCTTCTGCGGCGGACAATTAGTCCGAATGTGTCCCTGACTTCTGTCTCTTCTCCTTCACAGAAAACTTCGGGGCGCGTGTGCTTGTCGTCATCCACTTTATTTATGTGTCCGAACTTCTGAGTGGAATGAAGCCGAGGCACAAACTACTCTAGGCGAAGAAGGTAGGTGACTGAGTACTTTACATGGATCATCTGATGAATTGCTCTAAGAATAAACGCACCTCAGACTGCGCCAATCCGGGTGTGTTACTTGTGTTGTAACGTGTGAGTGAGGCTCGAGCGTTATGGCAAAGCGCGAGATAATTAAAGGCTGCTGGCGCTGAACAGAAGTGGTTGCCAACATGCACACCTGCAAAGCACTGCTTCGCCCGAGGCTGAGAAGAAAGTCTTCATCTGTCTGTCTGTCTGTCTGTCTGTCTGTCCTTCTGTCTGTCTGTTTGTCTGTCTGTCCGTCTGTCCGTGCTGCAGACCCCTTCCCCTCTCACCTCACACAGCTTCCGATTACTCGCGCGCCATGAGGAATCAGTGCGTAATGGGCACGATGACACCTGGGTGATACGCTTCACTTTTATTTCCTGCTGAACCACCCCGATTTCTTTTAGGTTCCTCTCCGGGGGGAACGGGGGGGTTGATTATAGACTCAGGAAAGCAAATTGGTAAAGAATGCAGACGCTTTTACAGCCGAGTTTGCGTCACCAACAGAGGTCGTTTAGTCGTGTATTCTCCTGTGAAAGATAGAACTAAATTAGACCTTCAACATACTAAACACATTTAGATATTTATACCAACCCCACATGCCAAGAAGGTAAAATCAAAATAAAACTTTTTTTATGTTCCTTGCTCAGTATTCGGTGCCCAACTTTCTCACAAGGGAAATGATGTGCATGGAAGGAGGCATGGAAAAGAAGACCTTTCCTTTTGAGCTCACAGATTTGCAGTAATTACAGAATCACTTCCATATGTGGCTCTCTGGCTGCCTTCTCGCTGCCCCCACCATCCCTCTCTTCCCTCTCTCCCTTTCCCTCTCCCCTCTTCCCTGTGCATTCTCCCCGATTCCTCATTTTTTTCCAGCTTTTATGTTTTTGCACTCAATGCACTCAGAGCATTTTTTTTTTTGCAAAACCACAGCTTAAACAAAGTTTATGATAATCAGAACATCCTGGCATTTTTGGCGAACTGCTGCACTTTTTGGTGATTCAATTGGACTGCGCTTGCCAAAAAAAAAAAGAAAGAAGGTTTGTGTGCTTCAGCGAGAGAGAAAAAAGACATGGACGGGAGAGGGGAAATGTTGAAGAACACGGAAATATGAAAAAGAGGAAAGCAAAAGAATGGGAGCTCAGTGACGGATTCGAGAGGCAGGAACGGAGCGTGAAGGGAGGGAGAGGTGCAGCAGAAAATGAGGCGGCGAGAGGGAGGTAATGCTTTTTGACAGACGCGGGTTCAAGATGGGTTCATAGTGACATCATGGATGATTTCTGAGGGAAGCATAGACAGGAGAGCCGTTCGCCTTTCATTGGACGCACATGTTGGGGAGCAGGCAGAGTGCTCATGTGCTGGCACACACGCCGGTAGCTGCAGCCACAGCCTCTGAATGCACCCCAAAATATGCACAAGAAGCGCACACACACACACACTCCCCCCTTTTTTTATTTTCTCTCCCGCTCCCCCTTCTCGTTTTCCCTTTAGTTCCTTCTGCAGTTAAAACTGCTTTTGGCTCTCTCTCTAACTGTTCCAAGCTTTGTGCTCATTTGTTTTTGTTAGACGAGTACATAGCGGTATATGCCCCTTCGGTCCCTAACACATTCATTTCTCCTTTGCCATGAGTAACTCATTTTCCTGTGAGTAGTATTCCTCGGTGTATGTTTTGACTTCAAGGCGGTTGGACTCTAAATGAGTGCACTTTGCCAGGCTGGATGAATGAGCTCCTTCATTTCACAGGATGTGTGTTTAAGTCTGTAACCAAGAAAGTGCTAGCGAGTGTATATCTGTGTGTGTGTGTGTGTGTGTGTGTGTGTGTGTGTTTCTGCATGTGTGCATGAATGTGTCTTGAGTGGGTTGCGTGTGTTTTCCCTGCGACCCCTGTCTCCCTCGATGTGGCACCACACTTCACATCAATCTGAATGTGGGGAAATAGTGATCTCATTACAGGCTTCTTGTTACTGATTAAAACCTGCCGCCACACAGGCACCCGCACCCCTCGCCTCCCCCCACCACCAATCCCATCAACCCCCGCCTCTCCCTCTGTCTACAATCCACCCCCCCCCCCCCCGCGGTTTTTTTTTTTTTTGGAAATATTTTAAACACCTTTTTTCCTCGGGACGCCCGGGCCGCGGGGGTCTCGTCTGCCAAACCTTCTTCTCTCCCCCCCCGCCATCCTACTTTATACCCTCTAAAATTAATTTATTTCCTCTTTTCCCCCCCCAAAACACCTTTCCTCTCTCTCCTCTCCGCTGCGGCTTTCCTTCTGCCAGCGAGCCTTAGGCCTCTGCTGCACGGCTCCGTGAATGCAAATATGTTGAATTTAAAGTGGAAACACACGACTGAGTATGATGTTTCCATGAATATTTCATATCCTTGTAAACACACCCAGAGAAGCTGCAAAGCTGAACAACGCCTCTGTTTGCCGGATGGCTTCCCGTGAGGAATCGGCTCTCTCTCAGTTTTGACTTTTCGTCAAAGCGCGCCAGCGTCAGGATTGATGTCCGGGCAGTTCGTTATGATGTCACAGGCTGGGGTTGATAATACGAGAGCGGACGGGGCCATAGGCCATGTTTCCAGTGGTGCCCAGAGAGAGAGGGAGATAGCACCCTGATCTGTCTTCATTATCCCCCACTCTGCAGCCTCCCAGACACAATGATCATAAATCTCTGCCTGGAGCACACTTCACTGACACTGAAACACAAACACTGGTAACCTCTGACCTTCTCGCTGCTACTGCCTACGCGTACTCATCCATGCACACACTCACACACACACACACACACACATATTCACCAGCGAGATGCGCACTGCAAGGGGACACGCACATGTGCAAAGCCTCAACACAACCCTTGTTCGAGCCCACTGTCCTAATTTAATAAGGAGCACGGCGCGCTCTGCACACTGACACACACGCGACTAACGTCTCCTACTTAACTGCGTGTTCTGACACAAAGCCACGGCTCTGTTGGCCCGATGGCATCACACTTTACACTTAATGTCACGCTGATGCCCGATACAGTTATTGTAGTGTCCCCTGGCTGCGTTTACCTTCTTGTTTCATATTGCTGATTTACTACTGCTATGTAAACGGCTAAGGGATTTCTTTTAGCCTTCGTGGCCTCACAGCCAACACATGAATCAAATGTAAACAAGATAAGAATCATCTGAAGTGCCTTTTGCAGTGGGGCTTAGATTATGTGTTTCCTGAATATAAGGTTTCTGCGGAAAAAAAAGGACACACATCCAAAAATGCACGAAGGAACATTTCAGTCGGCTACTGTAGAACCATATGTGGCTGTAAAGATTGGAAGCACAGAGGAATAATGAGCACGGGGACTTGTGTTTTTTATTACGATGGCTTGACTTTACACCGGAGACACATTGAGTTCAGCGTGTTTGGGGACGGGATCTCTGCCCGTATCGGACCAGTTAGTGTGATTTGCGAAAAGACAATACTCAGCGGTTGTATTAGATCTTAAATTGACCGATAGTTGGAAGGACCAATAAAAAGATTCTTGTTGCCTCGTTGGTCGGAAATTCTGGGAGAATGTGAAGTGACGCGTGGCCGATATGCCTGCAGTGCATCGTTTTTAAGAATAAGTAGTGCATGTATAAGTTGTTTATTTTCAAAAGTGCTTGCTGCACTTACTTTGTGTAGATATTAATCTAACTAGATGTCTTTATTGGGAGTGTTAAAGTAGCATGTATGTATTTAGACCTACTTTTCTTTTTTTTCTTTCTTTTTTGCTTTTCAAGGTGAACTATTCTCTGCTGCCGAGGTAAAGGCA